CACTCCCTCGTCTCGAATCCGGTCTCTGTGTCAGGGACTCGTCCGGGGTCGAGGGGGCCCGGGTGTAGCGTCCGGGACTGAGAGCCTGGCAGGGGGCGGATCGGGCGTGCGTACTGACAGGCCCGATGTGGGACAGTGGTCCCTGGCCACTTAGACTGAAGTGGAAAGTTGTTATTATCATTAAAGGAGAGATATTGTATGTCATATCCATACAATCCCGACCTCTGCTCCGGGCTCCCGGAACTCCAAACTTGACTTCCGGAGCCCTACTTCCCTTCCGTCACCTTCTCCTTGCCAACTCCCAAGAGGTTATCCCACCTCCGGCTCCAACACCACCTTCGGTCCGACTCCGGAACATTCCGGTTCCGACCCCAACCTCGACACCTTCCAGACGAGTATGCAACACCTATGCTCCCGACTCCGGACCTCTGCTCCGGAATCCCGTTTGCATCTCCGTCTCCGGAACCTCCGGTCTTAGCTCCGACCTCGGACTTTGACCCCACCTCCGCTTATACCCATTGTATTGGTTAGCTCATTCCATTTAATTACGTTTGCCAATATTCCGGAGTTTAACCTCCGAGTTCGGACTTTCCGGACTTACTCCGGACCTTGCAACTATTGCATTGTCCATTTCAATTCTGCTATTCTCCCTCATTCCTATTTGGGCTGCTGCTTCCTTCTATTCAGTCAGCTAGCCATTCCCGACTCCAATCCTCCTTCCTTCCTTCTTGGGCCTTGGCCCTTCATTCCTCCTTTGGGAAACACCATTGAGTCAAACACTTGACCCTCGGTGTTGTTCCCCTTTCCATCTCCCTTTGTCTCCTTTTGTCCTACCCTTGTTCCTTTTGATTCCGGACCCCTCCTTATATACAATGTACCTAGTAACTTGTAACCTCAGTCCGAAATCGACTTGAATTCCCCCAAGAGACTTTCCCTCTGCTGGTTCCGAAATTAGGGACCCCCAGGACAACCAGCAATGGCACAGCGCTCCACCTGAGTCGCTGAGGCCAAGGTCCTTCCATGCTAAGTCTCCGATTCCACTCTGGAGTCGTCTGAATCTGCACATTCTAACATTGTACTACTTACCTGAAGTGGAAAGTTGAGAAGAAGGCTACTTCTTCGGTTCCCACTTCAGGTTTGTTTATATACATGCGGCTTGGATCACATGACGGGTGCCACGTCACCCTCGCACACAGCCGTAACCACCCAGGTATCTCTGTGGGAGATCCCGAGGGCATCCGGTGCAGGCGCGCGTGCTGGGCACAGCGGGAAGTCGCCTGAGGTGCCCAGGCCGGGTACATGGTGGGTGCACTGCAGATGGGTCAATGGTACATTGATACAGAGAAAGTCGTCCATGTAGAATAAAGAGAGAATAAAGAAGAAGTAGGATAAGGAGAAGCTGAGGAGGGAAGGATGAGAGGGAAAGAAGGGAAAGGGGGAGGAGGTAAGGAGGGGTGGACCAGTGGGGTACCAGGTCAGGTTGGGCCGGGTGGAGCCGGGTCAGGCGGGTGTGCCCTGACACTCTGACAGTCTCTGTCGAGTCACTGATGATATTCCAGTGTGCTTTCACTGGTGGTTCTTTTCGTGAATTTTTCATGAGTTCTATTTATGTCCTGGACCGTGGTCCAGGGGTGTTTATTTGTTTCCTCACTTTTTTGTGAGAAATTTATTTCCTTCAGCAAGTCTGTTTGTTCGCTGATTTTTTCAGTCAACGTGTCGATTGCGTTGGCCATTCTTTCTAGAGTTATCTCTAGATGAGCCGTACTATTATGGTTCGTTTCCTCGATCTTTTTTTGGATCGAGTTTATCGCGTTTATTATGCACGATTCCTGGTTTTCCAGGAGGAAGTTTGGTTGGGCGAGCAGAGACTCTCCCCAGTTGACATTTCCGCTTCTGGGGGTTCCAGAATGGGTTCTTGGAGTGAACACTCCACACTCGCTTTGTTTAGGCGAGGCCATTGCGGAGGGTGCTTCCCTTTCATAGAGGGGTCTGTTCGCTGGTTTTTCCTTACTTTTACATAAGGCTTCCTCAGCGAACTCCCTCATTTCAGTTCGCCTCCTCTTCATTATCTCGGAGACCTCCTCCGAGGTTGGCGACCTTGCCTTGTCTGGCATGGTGTGTGGGAGTGTAAACAGCGGAAGTTCTTTTGGAGCTTCCGCGCTCTGGGAGATCCTGCTCTCAGGGTGTATGTTCGCACCTTCTTGGGCTTTCAGCCTGAGAAGAAGTTGATCATCACTTTCCGTCCTCCATTCAGACAGAACCTGGAACAAGTCCAGTAGTTTTTCGGATAGCCGACGCGGGGGCTCTTCCCTTTGTTTCCCTTTGTCTGCCTTTGGGGCTTGACTTGGGGACGTGAGGGGGGACTCCAGGGGATAGTGGGGCCCTGGAGTTTCCTGCGACTCTATCCGATCAGCTTTTTGGGCTGATCGTTCGGCGCTTATGCGTTTTTCGCGCAAGTCGATCACCTCATGAGGAGGTGAGGGATCTTCCCCAGCTTGGGTTAGATCAGTGTGTTGTGGAGTTCTGGGGGTAATTGGCCCCGCACTTACTCCACGTAAGTTTCTAAAGCCTTCAGGGGCCAGCCCTGAGGTGGTTGCTAATGCCGGATCATGTTGATCCTCGTCGTCGTCTGACAACGGCTTTTGGTTTGAATCTCCCATGATGGGAGATTGCGGTTTCTTAATAAACTGCTCGCTTCTTTTTAGTGTCGCTGCAGATGTGACCTTGCCCTTGTGGGCGTGTTTAGGCACCATAGGCGCTTCCGAGTCAGATGTTAAGATTGTAGAGTTGTGGGTTGTGTTGTAAAACACACCTCATGCACTTAAAAAAGTGTGAGGTCTTTGGGTAGCTCAGCACACAAGGCCGTAAGTGATACAAGTTTGTGTATTTTATGGTGGTGTGTAAGCAGTTACCCGGAGGTTCCCGCTTGCCCACGTGACTATATGTATCTAATTTACATGTGGCTCGGGGTTCAGGGCTATTGCCCTGACATTTCGGCACTAATCCCTCATGTATCACAGGAAAAGCCAACAAAGAATCACACATTTCTATCGCCCAACTGACGATGAGGAACCATGGTCTGTGGAAGGCCTGCTGCGTTGGGTCGAGGACCTAATCATCGAGCATGATCTGGCAAGTGTGCTTTTTGGCAATATGGCAACTGACATCAACTACGAACAGGGCTTTGATTTGGTTGACTCAGCATCATTTCGCGGGCTAATGAAGTTCCAGGCACATGGGGGCCTGTCAGGGACGCGTCCGGGGTAGAGGGGGCCTGGGTGAGATGCCCGACACTGGAAGTCTCGCAGGGGGTGGAGCGGGCGTGCGTACTGGCGGGCCCGGCTCAGGAGGCAGTCCCTGGCCACTTAGACTGAAGTGGGAAAGGATGTTATTATTATTAAAAGGGAATACTATGTTGCTTACCTGAAGTGGGAAAGGATGAGAACAAGGCTACTTCTTCAGTTCCCACTTCAGGTATGTTTATATACATGCGGCTTAGGTCACATGACGGGTGCCACGTCATCCTCGCGTACAGCCGTAGTCACCCGGGTGTCCCCGTGGGGGATCCCGAGGGCGTCCGCTGTGAACGCACGAGCTGGAGATAGCGGGGGTCGCCCGAGGTGCCTGGGCTGGGCATGTCGTGAGCGCACTGCAGGTGGGTCAATGGTACATTGATACAAGGAAAAGTCGTCTGTGTAGAATAAGGAGAAAATAAAGAGAAGGTGAAATAAGTAAAGAGGGAGTGGAATGGAGAAAGAAGGAAAGAAAGGAGAGGGGGGGAAGGCCGGGTGGCAGGGTACCGGGTGAAGTGGGGCCAGGTGGGGCCGGGTCAGGCAGGTGTGCCCTGACAGGGCCTCAGCACTACATCACGCTACAAGGACAAGGACCTTCCTCACAGAACAAAAATGATGCAACTTGTTCTTGCACGCACAGAAACTGTCACAAAAAACTTGAAGAGTAAACTTCAGGTATGTCATCACCGCATGGGAGTCACTCATAGATATTTATTATATGATTATAGGAAGCACCTGGCCTTGTTCACTTCACCTTCGATGCATGGACCTCTGCAACTATGAGGGGTTTTCTTGGTACAACATGTCACTTCTTGGACACCAAATGGAATGTCCACTCTGAGCTAATGTCCTTCTGCGAGCTTGATGGACCTCACACAGGCGAAAATATCGCAAATAAATTGTTGGCAGAGATCACTAAAATGGTACCAACAATGAAGGCAAGTGTTCAACTAATTCTCTACTCATCCAAGTTTGATACTAATCATTCAACGTAATTACCTCATAGATTGGGTACATTACATCCAACAATGCATCAACAAATGATGCAGCAATGCACATCATGAGTGAGATTCTTAGTGAGGAACACAACACATGATGGGATGCAAGCCGTTACCGTGTTAGGTTCATCATGTTTGTCATGCTGAACTCTCAGCTTACGTAGTTAGTGCATCATCTAGATGCATGGCCCATATTGTCAACTTAGCACAACAAGCGTTTATTCGTGCTCTCACTGGCAATACTGATGGTTTTGTAGAAACTCTCGGTGGCAATACTGGTGATGACGATGAGATTGAGCTGGCCACAAGCGGACTTGAGATTCCTATGGATGGGGGCACTTTGATCGGGCCATTGTTGTCCCGCGTCCGGGCCCTAATTGTTCATCAGCAAAAGGTCCTCAGGGTTTCACTTCAAATGGTTTGAAAACAATTGAGTTCACTTCTGAACTGAATTGAAACGTGACACCTTTACTAAAATGCTTTGGGAAATTGGTCAATTCGGCCAGTTTCATTGTATTAGAAGCAACAGGATCATCAGAAGTGTCCAAAGTTGACTGCAACAATTTCCTGATGTTCGTGTGAGTATGATTCTACTGTGACAATATCCCATTCTGACATACAATTGCAACAGATCCGAAAGTTGCCTGGCGCAAAACTTTATTTGAGAGAATGTTGTGCCAAGGTACCCATTAAGCCACTGGAACTCGTGATGTATGGGAACACACACTGGGGGTCATGGTTGATCCTTTTGAACCGATTTATTGAATTGCGGCCAGTGCGACGTTACCTTAAGTTATCGAGTTATTCTCTCATAACCTCGCTTTTCTGATGATAGGCTATCATGCATTTCATTGAACATGCTGACCGCAAAGACTCCGTACCAAAGGCAAAGGGTCATACACCTAAATACAGTGCATGGGTGTTCAGCGATAATGATTGGAATATGATGGAAATAATCAGAGATGCGCTCAAGGTATGCTCCCACCACTTTCTCTGCTAAACACACATAGCAACTCTTGTGTATAGGTTGCAGGTCATGCCCAACAATCATTCTCCAGGACTTCGAAGGCTTCAAGTGCTCCATACTCACTCTCAGTCTATGAGGGGCTGATTACAACTTGGGAGGGGATGCGAAAAAACCCAAAATATACCTACATCTATGATGCACTCGATGCTGGCATTGCTATTATGGGGAAATATTACGATGAAACGGACATGTCACCTCTTGCCGTTCTCAGCACAGGTATGAAACATCTTGCATAAATCAAAACATCTACTTATTGCCTACACTCTATCTAGTTCTTGATCCGATGACAAAAGATTCCTATATCAACCATTATTTTGCACCGCAATACAAACGGACTGCAATGCAAAGTGTCCGGAATGTTGTATGTTACTCCGAACATTCAGAGCTTCGCTGTCAGGGATCGGCCCCTGACCCCGCTGTCAGGGCACCCAACCACACCCCAGAACCACCTTCCCAGACCTCCTGTCAGAGTACACCCACTTCCGGCCACTTCCAGCCTACTTACCATCATGATCTGATTCCATGATCTATGATCACCCAGATTCCATGATCCATGATCCCTGTACAGCCTTATGATCTGATCCCACTCCAAGATCCATGTTCCATGATCCATGATCCAACACAGCCAGACAAACCTGGATCATTGATTGTTGGTATGTACAGTGCCTCGTAGATTAGCTGTGTGTGTAGGCTACAGTATATTACACCCTGAGTAGCGAGCAGGAAGACCAGCTTTCTTCTCTCATTTCCCCTCGCTGCTCAGGTATGTTGTACATAGTAACATAGTGGCTGGAATACGACTCATTTCCCCTCGCTGCTCAGCTGGAGCCTGTGTCACCTAGCACACCTCGCGGTTCTCCTATTGAGACCGACCCAGACCTTCCTAGTCTTACCTCCACTTCCACTGGATCTCTTAACCTTAGCTCCGAGCAGCTCAGTATCCTGACACCTCCCCATCCCTACATACCTCTCACAACTTCAGCCCGCATGTGAGCCCGCGGGAAAAATCACGTGGGTTAAGGCGAGCAACTCGCCTTAACCCATGTGACACCTTTTCCGAGTCGCGGGAACATGCTCGGCTTCTACCCGGAGTCACGTTATGAACTGTACAGTACACTTCCTTTTTATAGTAGCCAAGCGGGGAATAGGGAAACTTACCCTTCTTCTCAACTCAATCCCCGCTTAGGCAAGTTGTAGTTACCCTCTGTAATACATGACAACTCAATCCCCACTTAGTCCCTTCAGTGAGTTTGAGGAGCTGAGGACAGGGTCTAGCGCCCAACCACCCGGAACACCACACACACCTAGGACTGAGGTCGGGCTGTCCCTGATCGAGGACCGAGCCCTGACAGCAGAAGAAGGGTTCAACCTACTTCTATCCCCCCCGATGTCGCTGGAAGATCAGATAGCGGAGCTGACCCGCCAGCTCCAAGATCTCCAGGCCCAACTGGCCACCCAGACCAGACCCACGGCCCCAGCCCCGGCCCCTACACCCGCTCCGGCTCATAAGCCACCCAAAGTAGCCACCCCTACCCCCTTCTCTGGGTCACAAGATGACCTAGACCGCTTCAAGGCAGAATGTGGACTCTACATGAGCATGCGCCATGCCGAGTTCCCGGACGAACACAGCCAAGTCCTGTTTGTCCTGTCATACATGAAAGGAGGGACTGCCGGACCATGGGCCACCCAACGCATCAACACCCTCCTTGCCCCAGGAGCCCCAGCCATTTCCTTTGATGACTTTGCGGCGGAACTCGATTCTATGTTTGCAGACCCAAACCGACAAGCCACAGCCCGTCAAAAGCTTGCCTCACTCCGACAAGGGAATGAGTCAGTAGACAAACTGATCCAGCAGTTTGAGCTGCACGGCCCAGTGTCACGAATGGGAGATGCCAAGCTCAAGCCTGCCCCCCCAGGACCGAGCAGAGGCGCACTGGACCCTGCTATAACTGCAATCGGCTAGGGCACATAGCCCGAGACTGCCTGAGGCCGAGACCCTATCAGGCCCGGGCCACATTACAAGGGGAGGCCCCTAGGGAGATGACCCGTCTGGCCCCGGAAGACCTCCGGGCGATTGCAGACCTGCTGAAGGACCGCCCCCTCACCCAGGAGCTGGACCGTGCAGAGGAGGAAGCGGGGGAGGAGAGACCTGCTGAGGATTTTCAGGAGGACGACCGGTGAGGGATGTGCCCCGGTCGTCCCCCAGCGTCACTGTACCTGCATGTAGATACCATGGCAATTCCAGGACTACAGTGCAACCTAAGTTACACCGAGTGATCGCTAAGAAAAAAAGAGCCACACCCACAAAACCCCGCAGAGAGAACCCACAATGCGCCTCGGCTGAGGTTGCTGTTCCCCCACCCACGATCTACGTACTATCCAAACGCCCTCCTCGCTCCCTCAACCTTCTGGTGAAGCTGACTGCAACCACCTCTCTCGCCTCAGTGACCACCTCCGCCCTCCTAGACTCAGGGGCCACAGGGATGTTTGTCAGTCGTGAATTCGTCCGGAAGCATGGCCTGGAGACCACCCCCCTACCCCAACCAATCCCGGTCCACAATGTGGATGGCACCCCAAATGAGAATGGATCCATCACGGAGGAGGTGGACGCACTCCTTACGTTTGGTCAACACACGGAGCGAGCTCGCTTTGCAGTGACCAACTTGGGGCGCCAGTCAGTCATTATTGGTCACTCGTGGTTGACACACCACAACCCGGAAGTGGACTGGGCCCGACAAAAGGTCATCATGTCCCGCTGCCCACCTGCCTGCCAAAGGCTCAGGGTGGCGCCAATAGCTCCGAAGGAGCCTGACCTCACAGTAGAACCCGGGGATGGACTATATGCAGCCGTGATTCCCCCAGGATGGGGACACGACCTGAGGGCGACCACCACCCCATCGCAGCGGATGGCCCAAAGAGCGCAGGACCCCACCCCAGGGGAAAAGCCTCTCGAGGAGATGGTGCCTGAGTGCTACCGAGACTTCAGAGACGTCTTCTCGAAAGAGGCCTTTGATCAACTACCACTCCGGAAACCTTGGGACCACGCCATTGACCTCACCCCGAGGCTAAGCTGCCACGAGGAAAGACCTTCCCACTGTCCCCTGCAGAACAAGGGGAGCTCGATGACTTCCTCAGGGAGAACTTGGCAAATGGGCGGATCCGCCCATCCAAATCCCCCATGGGGGCCCCAGTGTTCTTCGTGAAGAAGAAGGATGGCTCCCTAAGGCTGGTCCAGGACTATCGAAAGCTGAATGAGATCACTGTCAAGAACTCCTACCCCCTCCCCCTAGTTTCCGACATCCTCACCCGCCTCCGGGATGCCAAGTGGTTCTCAGCCCTCGACCTCCGGTGGGGGTTCAACAACGTCCGCATCAAGGAGGGAGATGAGTGGAAGGCGGCCTTTGCAACCAACCGAGGGTTGTTTGAGCCAATGGTGATGTTCTTCGGACTGTGCAACTCCCCGGCCACCTTCCAGACCATGATGAATGACATCCTCAGGGATTTCATAGACCGAGGGGTGGTCATCTGCTACATGGACGACATCCTGGTGTTCACACCCACCCTGGAGGAGCACCGGAAGGTCGTCCGGGAGGTCCTATCCACACTGAGGGGCCGGAAACTGTTCCTCAAACCGGAGAAATGCAAGTTTGAGCAGCGGAAGATCAACTACCTGGGCCTTGTCATCTCGGAGAACCACGTTGCCATGGACCCAGTGAAGGTTCAGGGAGTGACTGACTGGCCAGCACCCACGAAGGTCAAAGAGGTCCAGTCTTTCCTGGGGTTCGCCAACTTCTACCGCCACTTCATCCAGGACTTCTCCAAGAAGGCCCGGCCCCTTCACACACTCACCCGGAAGTCGAAGCAGTGGACCTGGGGGAGAAAGGAACAGGAAGCATTTGACGGGCTGAAGGAGGCTGTCACCTCAGCACCGGTCCTCACCTTCCCATCGGACTCAGGTCAGTTCCGACTGGAGTGTGATGCCTCCAACTTCGCAACAGGGGCGGTACTCTCCCAGCTCCAGACAGATGGGGAATTCCACCCAGTGGCGTTCATGTCAAAGGGCTTCTCAGATGCAGAGAGGAACTACAAAATCTATGACAAGGAGATGCTTGCCATAGTCCGAGCCCTGGAAGAGTGGCGCCATTTCCTTGAAGGCACCCCTGAGAGGTTCGACATATACACCGACCACAGAAACCTCTCCTACTTCCGCTCAGCCCAGAGGCTAAACCGGCGCCAGGCACGGTGGTCCCTCTACCTCTCCCGCTTCCACTTCCTGCTAGTCCATAAACCAGGGAAACTCATGGGGAAGCCCGATGCCCTCTCACGTCGGCCGGACCACCCGAAAGGGAAGGACGACAACATGGACATGACCCTCCTACACCCGGGCTGGTTTGAAGTCAGAGCTATGGAGGGGGTCACAGTGGAGGGAGAAGAGGCAGACATCCTGGACAGGATACGCAGGGGGAAGGAGCATGACGAGGGAGTGGTAAAGGCAATGAGAGAGCTGGAAAGGGGGACCCTACACTCGGATGAATGGGAGAAGGAAGGGGAACTGATCCTCCACCGGGGCCGGGTGTATGTCCCAAAAGACCCACAGCTCCGCCATGACCTGGTACAACTCCACCATGACTCGGTGGCAACAGGCCACCCTGGGCGGTGGAAGACTGTGGAGCTCGTCTCCCGAAACTACTGGTGGCCCCGGATGGCACAGTATGTTGCACAGTACGTCTCGGGGTGCGACACCTGCAACAGAGTGAAGACATTCCCATCTCAGAAAGTCGGGAAGCTCATCCCGAACAAGGTCCCCACCCGCAGGTGGCAGGTGATTTCAGTAGACACCATTGGAGAACTCCCAGACTCCAAGGGGTACAACGCAATCCTGGTAGTGGTAGACCGACTTTCAAAGCGCATTCACGCAATCCCCACAGTCACTACGGTAGACTCAGCAGGCGTGGCCCGGCTCTTCCTCGAACACGTCTGGAGGCATCACGGCCTCCCAGAGGAAGTGCTCAGCGACCGAGGCAGCGCATTTGTCTCCCGCTTCTCCAGGGAGCTAGCAGACCTCTTAGGGATCAAGCTCACCCCTTCAACAGCCTACCACCCACAGACTGATGGCCAGACGGAGCGTGTCAACCAGGAAATAGAAACCTACCTCCGGGTGTTCGTCAACCACAGGCAAGATGACTGGGCTGACTGGCTGCCGCTTGCCGAGTTCGCCTATAACAACCGCATCCACTCTTCCACCCACCACACCCCCTTCGAGCTTGACTCCGGGCAACACCCATGCATGGGGACCGAACCGACCCGCATGTCTGAAGTCGAAGGGGCTAATGACTTTGCCTCTCGGATGATGAAGATGCAAGAGGAGGCAAAGGCAGCACTAGAGCATGCAGCAGAAGAGATGGCATGGTACTATGACAGGAACCGGAAGGCAGCACCAGTCTACCAAGTTGGGGACAAAGTCTGGCTCAACACTCAAAACTACACGACAGACCGACCAACCAAGAAGCTTGACCACAGATGGATCGGCCCCTTCCAGATCGTCAAGGTGGTATCCCCAGCAGCAGTAAAGCTACAGCTTACGGCCCATCAAAGAGGAATTCACCCGGTAGTCTCGGTCTCAAACACCCGCCCCTACGCCCCAGACAGAATCTCCGAACGCCATGCAGACCCGCTCCCTGGCCCAGACATCGTGAACGGAGAAGAGGAGTATGAAGTGGAGAAAATCCTGGATTCCAGGTACCGGTATGGACGGCTCTGGTACTTCGTCAAATTCTCTGGCTGGCCAAACTCAGAAAATGAATGGCTCCCCAGAGAGAACCTGGAGAACTCCCCAGACCTCCTGAAAGAATTCCACCAGGCCCACCCGGAAGCCCCCAGACCAAGGAGGAAGGAAACCCCCCAACCACGGACCACAGCCACTTCGAGGCGAAGTGGCATAGAGGGGGGGTGATGTCAGGGATCGGCCCCTGACCCCGCTGTCAGGGCACCCAACCACACCCCAGAACCACCTTCCCAGACCTCCCCATCCCTACATACCTCTCACAACTTCAGCCCGCATGTGAGCCCGCGGGAAAAATCACGTGGGTTAAGGCGAGCAACTTGCCTTAACCCATGTGACACCTTTTCTGAGTCACGGGAACATGCTCGGCTTCTACCCGGAGTCACGTTATGAACTGTACAGTACACTTCCTTTTTATAGTAGCCAAGCAGGGAATAGGGAAACTTACCCTTCTTCTCAACTCAATCCCCGCTTAGGCAAGTTGTAGTTACCCTCTGTAATACATGACAACTCAATCCCCGCTTAGTCCCTTCAGTGAGTTTGAGGAGCTGAGGACAGGGTCTAGGGCCCAACCACCCGGAACACCGCACACACCTAGGACTGAGGTCGGGCTGTCACTGATGACTACAAGTTTATTGAATATCATTCTACCTACATGACTCGGTCCACTGCCTCAAATGGAACCAGGACAATTGGAGGCGACGTTGTATCTATATGTCATGGCCGTGCATTCCAGCCCGTTCCCTGCCCGTCCTGATGCTGCCCAAGCCCGTTATCGCTATGCGAGCGTGAGCCCCGACCTCAGCCCTATCCTCCCTGAGGACTCCCTGCTCACTCCCCTGCTTGCCCCTAGGCTCCCCTACACTTGGCCGACTCCCCCACTGCTGCACCAACCTCCCCACCCTGAGTCCGCCTCCGGCACCATGCCCAGTGTGACTCCCCTACCCCGCCCACTTGGCCCCTACAGGGCCGCTATCATCCCCATGCCCGACTCCAGCCCAACTCCGAGTCCAGCACCGCTACGATACCATCACCACTATCGCGGCCCTACGCTCTTTCCTTTATTTATCTGTTATTGTTTGTTTTGACCCTCGGTCATTGCCAGCCACTGTGCGGCCAACCCCGCTCCTTATTCTTGTTTGCTTCCGGACCCTTCGGCCTCCGGCCCGGGTCCGCTTCCATTCATTTCTTCCTCCTATATATATCCTGTATGATACTTTATTGTACCTTAGCTCTAATATCGATGTGACCACGACCCCTAAGTCCTGACCCCAACAAGGCAACCCCAGTGAGTCCGAAATGAGGGCCAAGAGACAGCTAGGGGGCACAGCACTCCCTTTAGAGTTGCTGAGGCCAAATGCCCTACCCTCGGGCCTTGTCACGGCATCATGGCCATCGCAGCCTATAGCGGCCCGCTAACGGCGACCTTCGGTGCCGACCCCGGACCAGTGTCTAACACTATAGCAACCACTCCCTTGACTGATGAAATACCCTATGGTCTTTCTCGCTGTCTTGCAGCCAGTCAAGCTCGACGAGCTCAAGAAATCGTTAGCGATGATCCTGGTGCAGAGCTCACATGCTATCTTAGTGATCCGCTTGAATTACCTGGCACCGACATCCTCAACTTCTGGATGGTAAGTATTGTTAGTTCCAATGGTATTGTTTGCTGAACTAACCTATACTGATTCCCAGAAAGAAGGCTCCGCATATCCAGTCCTCAGGTCCATTGCCCAAGACATACTCTCGGTCCCCGCATCTTCTGTCCCATGTGAAAGGGCATTCTCTGCTGCAAAACACACTGACAGCGACACCCGGAGTCATCTCACCCCTCTGCATCTCGGTGCTATCCAGATCACCAAAGCCAACATACAACAGAATCACCTTAAGGAAGACAAGGAGAGGAAGGCTTCAGAGGAAGCGAAGGTTCAAGAGTGGCGGGAATTTGAGGCAAATCTTATCTTGGATTGTGTGGAGAGAGAAGGAATAGATCTTGAGTTTTGATGCTCAGTTGATAGTACCAGTTCCCACTATACATACTATCGTACACACTCTCTTCATAATAAGATTTCCGGGACGGTCTCAGGACCGAACTGAACGATCCCAGGACTGTAACTGCGGTTCGGTTTGGTTCGCCTACGGTTCGGTCCTGGTTTGACAGGACAGCGAAATTTGGGACGGTCCCGGTTCTGGTCCTCGAAAAATCACCCAAAGACTGAACCGAACCGGACCATGGCACCCCTAGCTGTGGGAAGCATTTATGACATATTTATTAAGATGTTAAAAACGTATTCAGAGCATTTCAGGGTATAAAAAGGCATTCAATTATATCAAAAATCACCTAATTTATCACAACGTTTAGACACCAAAATTCACGTTTGAACGTCAAATTTTGGCATGTTAAATGTCAAATCTCGTGCTTTTGATCGATTTCGCGATTTTCGGACATTTCTACTGTCATCCCGACGATCCTGCACCAAATCTGGGGTGTGCGAGACAAATCCGAGGCAAAGGCAATGTTAGAATTCTTGGTATTATGGTGTTCGCTATGACCAACTCACATTTGGGGATTGTCATATCCGTGCATACCCGACCCCGACCCGACTTCCGGACCTCCACCCTCTTCACCTCCGGAGTCATAACCTACCGCTGCCGTTCCAATACTCACCTTCGGTCCTGGCAACACACCTCCTTTTACCCCCCACGCCACCTCTACTCCTCCTTCCCTCTCCTCCCCTATCTCCATCCGCTCCGATACCCACCTCGGACCGAACACCGCCCCTCTCGCCACCCTCCTACTACTTCTCTACCCCTCCTACTCCACTCCCCCTTCACAACACCTCCACCCTCCCGTCATCCTCCTATGCTTCCCCCGTCCGCTCCAATACTCACCTTCGGACCTGACAACTCTCCTTTCCGCCACTCCCTCTTCCTTACCTTTCCCCTCTCTCCTCCCTCTGGTACTCCTCCACCACCCTTCCGCCAAGCTACAACCTTTCACCGCTGTCCCACACTTCGTACTCGGACACCGCTCGTACCTTGCTCTGAGCCTCCGTCATAGTCCCTACCTCGGACTTTGACTCCACCTCGGTCTTAGTCCATTGCATTGGTGACCTCATACTACGTAAACACCATTGCCAATATCCCTCAGACTTTCAACCCTGCCTCCGTAACCTCCGTAAGCTCCGCAACCTCCGAGCTTCGCAGATCGCCTTCGGCACTTTCGCCGCCTGTAATGTATTTCTCTCGTTTACCCCTCATCCCTATTTGGACTACTGCTTCCTTCCATTCTAGCCAGTTAGTCATCATCCCCACTTCTCCTCATCCTCCTGCCCCTCTGGGCCTTGCCCTCCCTACCTCCTTTCGGACGTATCACAGGTCCTGCCTTATGACCTTCGGTACCGTTCTGCTTCTTCTACCCTTTGTTCCCGTTCGGACGTCTTCATTCCGATTTGGTTCCCCTTTGTTTCCTTGTGCTTTTGCCCCCTCCATTATATATATCGGCGCTTGTACATACTCATTTTGGTTCAGTCCGAAATCGACATGAATTCCCCCCAAGAGACTTTCCCTCTGCTAGATCCGAAATTAGGGACCCCTAGGACAACCAGCAATGGCACAGCGCTCCACCTGAGTCGCTGAGGCCGAGGTCCTTCCACGCTAAGTCTCCGATTCCACTCCGGAGTCGTCCGAATCCGCCCATTCTAACAGTGATGTTGAGTTGTGTGGGGTTTAGATTTACACCTATTGCCTTTCTTGGTGGCATCTGTGCCAAAGTCAGTGTGCATTCATAGCGCCTGACTATAAAAGAACAATTTTTCAGAACCCAACCTTTCCTCAGTTCACGTACAATGGGACTGAGGTGTGTTGGTTATCTCTTGTTCATCTTTAAAAATGTGTATCTAATATTTGTACACCAGCGACAACATCGCTAGGTGATTAGTTCACAATATATTTCTAGTTCACGTACAACGGGACTGAGCGACAACATCGCTAGTCCGACATTTCGTCTTATAGGCAAAGTTTGCGGGAATCTATTATACTAAGATATCTTCACAGTACTGCTCAGCGCGTGGCTTGGTGGCTGTACTGAGGCCAACTGGCTTTGGTCTCGCGTGAGTGTGGGAGCCAGCCACACCCGTTGTCGAAGCAGAACGGCGAAAGCCGAGAAAAACAAAAACAAAAAAATTGACCGGAAGTATCCGGGACGTCGGCTCTCTCCCTGACGACTGACACCTCGTCCTGACTGCGAGCCCGATCTGGCTCATGCGGTCCCATGAGCACTTCCTGTGTTTGTGCAACTAAGAATCGGATCGGGCATTCTTCCCGAGTGTGGGACACGAAATCACTTCTTCGAGGCGCCCGCTGTGATCAGCTTCTGTGTGTTGCAACAGACCCCCGTGGTAGAATTAAAGGGGCTCCTTTGAATTCCTCATCCTCACGCTTCGCGCTCGAACGAATGGCTCGGACGCTGGCACCCCTACTTATATCACCTTGCGCATCGCTCTAGGGATACATGAGCCAAGGCACTACCACGCGTTAGTTCTTGACCTGTAGACTGATGAAAGGGGCAACGGGACAAATCTTCCGGATCTGACGATAAGCGCCGCTTCTGAAACTGGGTAGACAGAAACCAGAAAGGATGCCACACCGTTAGCAACAAGAGACGTCACAGCGTCGCGCTGATTACCCTCGACCTTAAACCTTAATGATACACATTAAAATTCAATTATAAGCGTACTATGTTGCAAACACAAAAACACAATTTCATAGGCGAAACTACGAATGGCGTCCTGCCTCAATGGCTCGTCTCCTTTCTTCTTCAGTCGAAAATCCGAACCCGCGCTTAGTTGTTAGCCAAAGGATAGTGTTGATAAGGCCTGATGCACCAAGGAGGGAGATTGCAAATATCGTCCATCCAGGCTTCACTGAGGGACATGGGCCGTGCGAACCAAACTGCACCAACCGGATAATGCTGATTGGCCCTACCTCAATGCAATAGGCTGCGGTTGAAGAACCAAAGGACCGCAGTCAGGGATCTGTGTACTCCATACTCAGTGGGGGAAATGCATTACCTAGAGAATACCAGAACATTCCCCATGCTTCCTTCGATGTCCATGTAGGAAGGACGATGTCGCTGTCGGTCACCACCTTGGACGGATTCCAACCGATGAGCGTGCCTATAAGCACGTAGCCATACCCAAAGACCGATGTCAATGCAGCAAGCCACATCAATGCATAGCAGGCGCCGATCTGTAGCCTGTCGTTCGTGGGACTGCTATGAGCTATCCAGCACCAAAGCCCGGTGTTCCCGTAAAAATGGGATATTACGCTAGCTGGCGGAACGATAAGGATGACCAAGATCATCACCATAGATATAATCAAACACCATGAAACCGTCCTTGGGTTCGAAACAATCCAGTCGACACGATGATAATACGCAACGACGAGTACGGCGACGGAGAATGCCGCAAGGGCCGTCCCCGCATCACCAAACTGCTCCAGTACTCCTAGAAAAAAAAAATTAAAAGCCAGTCAGTGACTCCTCGGATGCATGCCCCCCCACTTTCATGCGTACCTTGAGCGACACAATAATTCCCGCCTTTGTCTACTTTCCCTGAAACGGCCCATCGGAGTGAAAGAGCATACGATGTGCCCTGCACGATGTCCATTAGAATCCAGAAGGCAAAAAGTACGCTGAGTGGACGGAAGTGACGTTCCCATCCTTGCCGACCCCATTTGATCTATAACCAGAAAGTCAATGCGAGCTTGAGAACGCGTACGGAAGTGTTCATCCTTACCAATACGAATCCCAGGAGGAAAACTGCGCATGCTACTGAAACAGTTCCAATGAACGCGGCTATCTAGAACGGAAGAGATCAGTAAGGAAATCAGTTAAAAGAGGTCCAGCAGGCGCTAACGTACTCCTAGAGCTACACTCAGGGATCTATCGTTCGCGAAGTAGTATGGGGTATCCGGCGGAGCTCGCGGGTCACAGATCACATCGCGAGGAGTCTGCATGAAGCCTCCAGCTGGCTCTAGTGGGGTGGAAAGAGAATGGGTTTTGCCAGGCAAAGGGAGCTGGCTTTTAGCGGTGAAAAATAATACTAATCATTGCGGCTGGGCGGCTGTGCAATGGACCTTTGTGGCAGTTACAAGGCACACAACTCACCGGAATGTTACCCGTCTATTGAATCCTCATGCGATGACATCCAATAGCTATAGAGGCTGCTAACCCTGCCTGCTTGGAACTCACAGCCAGAATCGAGTGAACATACTTCAACACAGGTTGAACTGTGTTCTATAAATACGCCGCATTGGCGCCCGCCAGCGCTATCATAACGAGAGACGCCCATTCCGGAGCTGCACGTCCGCGCCGGATCCGGCATCTGTCCCCACAAAGAATAAATGAGTGGAGATATGAAATAGGGGGGCCACGCGTCGTCGCCTCGGGGTGTCTGTGCTGAATGCGGGAAAGCTGCGAATGAGCTTCATGACAAAACTTGAACGCACTGAGGTATGGAGACGTTGGGTTATCTTTATCCTAGGAACCCCCGTCACATCATAACAACCCTCAGCATACTTTCATGTTCAACCAACGTCATAGCGGCCAAGTGAATGCAGGTACTAAGCACCAATTTTGAGTTTTAACGTGTATACAACTTCCGCACAACATCGCCACCACGCCATGGCAGGCAATTTCACCTCTCTTTGATTCATCATCACTAGTACAGTGTACATGTATGCCACCTGCAAAAGCACCCACGTCCCTAAAATGATCACAACAACAACGTCAAACAACAACAGCGAAAACGAACAATCGAACAAATAATCACCCAGGTTGAACATGGAAAACCAAAAAAAAAAAAAAACGTGCGAGTTATCGGTATCGTGGATGAGGTGGTGCTAAAATACAAGGTACTATCACGAGTGTGTAGTTGGTAAAGATTCAGCAGCCCAAAAAGACAAAGGGACCTGTCCGAAAAAAAAAACCCACAGAGCAAAGACAGAATAAATAATCAATACATGAAAGCGCTCTGCCATGCGCGACACTGGGCTTCATCGTTGTTCGTCAGTCTTGCCGCTCGTTCGGCGATTGAAGCTCGATTTCTTGAACCCTCCTCGATTTGCTTGTCAAGGAACTCGCTCAGATCCGGCGATGATCGTGTTGCCGCTCCCGTGGCGTTGATCCGGATAAGCTTTGTGAATAAATTGCGACATGCCGACCACTTTACGCTCCCATCCTCATCTGATGATGCAGCTACGAATGAGTCGCGTAAATTATCACGGAGGGCATCTAATAACTCAAGGTGTAAAGATGAGGGGGGACAGGGAAACGAGATGGGGACTGCTTACCGAGTGGGTAAAGGCATGGGCCCGCAATGTCGAATCTCTTCTTCGATTCCTCAATACGCCCGAGAGACTCCTGGAAGAGGACTCGGAACTTCCCTTCTGCGTCTTTCACTGATTCATTTCGCGTATGCTTCAGCCACGAATATGGTCGGAATTCAGGGCTTGCATGATTGCGCACATACAAGCATAATTCCCATCCCGTTGACAGCGCTAGAGCGATGATCGTCAGGGAAGAGCCAACAACAACAAAGCCACATCGTAACGTACATCCGCTAGTTTCAAGAAACATCTATACCATTCTTTCCGCTTCTCGAAATCATTGCAGAGGATGGTGTTCAGGACCCAGTAATATATCTAATACAGAATCATCAACGCTTGAACACAGGAAATGGGAGTTTGGCTATACCTCTTCGGACGTATTGAAGAGCTGAGGCCCGGGTTGACGAGACCATTCCCTTGCGCGGGGTGAATACACCCACTCAAGCCACTCCATGATAGTTAGGGGAAGAAGCCTTTCCCTCATGTCCATCTCCCGTTGACGCAACGCTGCAATAACCTTCCGCATGACGCTGCGCCTTCGAGAACGCAACTTGTCCGCGATTTTCCTGTCCTCAAGAATGGAAGAGGTTGTGTATATTGTACATCCCTTTGACGTGGGGGCCCAAGGGTAGGATAGTTCAGGAATACTAGTTCTGCAGGCATGTGCCGGGCATCTGCGGCAGCCAAGGCTGAAGTATTGCAGACCACCCACTGTCTGACGGAGGCTTCAACATGACGGTCCTTGAAAGCATCCATTGACCAGAGCTTAGCTATCTGGATAGCCCTAAAGGGAAGGTTGAGAAACGGACGACATAACATTTGGAAGGACTCACGGCAGTAGAGAGTGAGCGTTGGAACGCGAGGCGATCTTGAGGGCGTCCAACACAGCTATGCCATGTGCAAAAGCTCTGTATGTGACCAAGAACACGATCTTGGTCTCAAGGTCTGTGGTTGTTTGTGAAATGAGCGATTTTTTGCCAAAAGATGACTCTTATCATTCATTCCTACCAGATGATTCCAATGCAAGAGACAGATGGGAATGCCAGTGTTTAGGTGACTCGGGTATATCTCCTATTTGAAAACATTCCTCTAGGGGGGACTCGAACATAAATGATGGCAGGGTTGGAGGGTCGGAAGTTTGGGATGACTCCAGTGACACGGACCGTGAAGGTGTGGGTCGGAAACGAAGAAACCGCCCTAGAGGGGCCGCACAATGGTGTCACTTGAGTATTCGACCAGATGGAATAAATAATCTCACTTTCTGAATGAGTTGGGCTCTGCGGTGTTGTTGGGTCCAATAAAACCCTGTCTTCGCGATAAACATGCGAGTGACGGCCTCTGTCTGGCGTTCGGTATCTGGTCCCACAAATTTAATCACCCTCTTCAATAGATTCTGATGGGTGATTATTGGGGCTCTCCCGGGAACAACTGTGCAAGGTTTTGCCAAATGACTGACGCAAACCACCAACAGTTCAGAGAGAACAGGCGGTATAACGGCGACTCTCGCTCAATTATACGCCAAAGGTCGACGACGTTGCCAAGTTTCAACCCTCGAGTGACGATGGATCGAACGTGTTGATCCGGGAAAGTTTGGCTTCGTGGAACGATACCGTCAAGGTGTCGGAGGCGCGAGGGTCCTGAAACGGGAGTGATGCAAGGCGTATGAGGGTTGGACGTCGTTCGCATCGAATCCATACGTTTTTCCCGCCTAGGTACTCTAGACCGGCAGTGCCCATGAGCATAACAATATATTCGTGGGTCTTTTTAGGGATTAGGGACCCGTCAACACGAGAAACATCACAGACCGCGCAAGGACACACACCTGAGCTCTGCAGAGTCGGACTAGAAGTACGTCTGAAGACAGGAATTTTTGAAGGTCGGCGCGATCGTTGGTGATGCAGTCGCAGAAGAGCTTTAGGGGCCATGCTACGGGTTCATCGGCGCTTGCAAAGGCAACAAGGTTGTGGACGAGATTGCGGGCTCAACTCCTTCGGATACGGTCATATGGTCATAGGTCATGGAACTGAGGTCGTCAAAATCTTATTGGTCGAGGTGTGTACGAGAGAGTGCGGCGGTGCGGCCCTGCAGACTGGGCCAGTTTTTATCATTGGGGACTAATTGCAATTAACATTTACGTTTTTCCATTTCGGGAGTCAAGTGAGTCAAGTGTTGCGCTGTACAGACGCGCGTTAAATCTCCGCAGTGTTACCCGTTCCACTGCCTTAACACCGATCAGGGGGTCGTGCGTGCTTGACCCACTTGTTGATCGAGGATGGGCGCGAGTCCAACCCCACAAATCGTTTCCCGTTGAATCGTGGGAACTTGGTCTCTCCTTCAACTTGACTGTTTTCCTAACGCGCTAACAATCACGGAAACTTCTTTTTTTTTTTCCTTTTTTTCTTTTCATTGCGCATGGCCAGCTGATGTCGGGTGGGCTTCCTCCCCCTCATTGTTTTGTGTTTGTGAGCAGGTATTCTTACTTCACCGTCGGATGATACGCGCGCTGCCTCGAGTACTGTACTCAGTATTTCGCCGCGATTAATCTTCCTTGTATTTTGGACTAGATGGAGAGTGACACTGCTGTGCAGGTAGTCATTCCGCAGATATATGCGGCCGCTGTGTTAGACAAACCGCTTGTGTGTTTTCCTCCGGTATTTTTCCGGCATCTTAACAATTCCCAGCGCCTGAAGTTCTGTGGCACTTCTTGCCGTTGTGGCTTTCGTCTATGTCTCCATTTAGGTGCCCTAGTTATTAGTACTTGGCTTCATCTATCATCACATCTCGTTTGGAGCTTGTCCTTGACTTTTTGCTCCAACCATCACTCAGGGACTTCACATCAAATATTTTGTCCACTGATTCATAATTTTCATCTTCTCTCCCATCTGCATCACCATTTGTGCCGAACACTTGATTGCACATTGGGAGGGCCGACTACGATTGTAGTGATGGCGTAATAAACGGAGTCCGTCATGTCAGCCCTTACCGCCTTTGTGTGTGAACGTCGTGATGATCTCTCATTCAGGCTCTGCCTTCTTATCTGTGCTTCGGGGTTCCTCGCGAGCTGTTCCGCCTCGCAGAAGAGAAATGCTGGCTCATTCATGAATCGTTTTTACGCTTGAAGATTGATGATCATCGATGCCACATCCGATTGTTCCAAGTCTTCAATCTAGAGGTTTCCGCTGTACATATCGCACCTTGCGGCGAAACTTGAGCGTTTGGGGTCGTGGGACTGCTTGTCCTTCTCCAGTGAAATGCGGCGTGCGATGCATTGATCGATATTTCACATCTTTTGAATGAACAGTGATGACCCACTGGACGGAGGGGTAAGGGGTCATATATATACGGCACACGGAGAAGACACGCAAATGCCCCCTTGCGGGTCATGACTAAAAAACAAGATATGCAGTAGCGGTGCACGGCATTGCGCAAGCCTTAGTTTCTTTCATATTCTCAGGCACAGCTCGGACATTTGTATTTGGGCAGCTGCCCCCTCTCTTTTGGCAGCATGTGTGACACAAGGGGCTTGGATGGAAAGATTCGATAGCTCGTGCTGTTTGGTTTGGCTGTGTTTCCATGATCCGAGTTACCAGCTGTTTCTCTTCCACCGGTACTGTGCTATGGGCTGCCAGCTGGTTATTCTTACGGTTCTGCTGTTCGGATGCCATCGGGGCACGCAACCCTATTTGTGCATTTGTATTATTAGTCTGCGCGGCAGTACTCTTGTTGCACTGCCCAGAACTTGCACTGACGTTTTCCACGGCACGGGTCGAGTTACGCCTCTGTACTCCGAGCCACGAGTCTTTGGGGAGTCATGCTGGGCAGTGTTCGCTTTTATTTCTAGTCCACGAATCCCCATTGCAAAGAATATATAGCCACCAACGAATAATTCAGCGGGTCTGACCCAGCTATCGACATGGCATTCAACGCAGTTTTCATTTCGGGTTGTATCTTTAGATGTGATTCCAGTACGTTGCCTCCTTGTCGTCCAATCATCGCCCCAAGCGGTTTGGGCCAGGTACAACCCCTACCGTACTACTCTTCAATACGCTAACCCTTTAACTAGTGGGAACGGGCCCCTACGAATACCGGCGGCCGAGCCAACTCTAACCCCCTTCCCCTTGGTGTCTTGTTTGCTTTTTGGGCAATGTCTCCCGCACGCAATAACTTTTCGTGGCCGGCGGCGGGTTACATAAATGGACGCGAATCCACCTGGTGTGCGAGCGAGCCGCGCAGGTGTGGGCAGATGCTACATAGCGATGGTCAGTGGTCCTGACTTGGCCCATGCGGCATAGAGTAAGAAGGTGGGTCACCGACCTCCCCGCTATTTCCGATGACGTTCCAAGGAATTGTTGGTGTCATGGTTGTCCTGGGGAGCATCGTGCCAGTGTTTGCGAGAATGCGCGCTAGGGTGCATTGGTTCCGACCCGGTAACGGAACTGGTTCATCGCACTAGGTGGGCACAAATGGGACATTCCGTCCTCGTTCTCCTTCCACAGACGCGAATATCTACTCCAGACCTCCTAGACCATACCCAGGGTAACAGGGGGAACAACACGCAAAATCAGTCTGGCGGATTCACAGCAAGGCGGTGGTGCGCTGCGCTCGGTCAAAACGAGCGCTTCCTTCCGTCGCTGGAGTGCCAGCTTGGCGTCATTGAGTGCATGTTGTCAAGATCGCGCCTTTATTTCTGCGAACGAGGTATGAAACCTGAATATATTGTGTTTGCTGGGAGCCGTCGGCGTGTTTCTCAGATATTGTGACCAGTTTGAGGCATAAACCGCCTATATATGCATGTATCATACGCCAATATTATTGGTGCCACAGTCACATCGTTCACCGAGCTTGATTCTGGTGCTCATTTGATTTTTATGTCGGATGCAGATAATTCAGCCATGCCAAAGTGGTCAGAGCTCGATTGGGAGCTTATTTGTCCGACCCTCAGCCGCCCAACCAGGAGCTCGTGATTGGTCTTCCTGGAAATCGCTAAAACGCACGGCGGTCAACGCCCCTGTCCCGAGGGCTGCACTACGAGAGAACGCTTGTTGCTCCTAAGCTTAGGCGCGCCATCGCCATCGCACCCGTACTATGCAGTCGCGAGCAGCGGCACTTTATGCTTCTTATACAACTCCTATGCCTTCGAGCATTGTGCCGACGCCCACCCGTATGATGAGCAGAACGGCAGTCCTGAATGCGAACTCATTCTTTACGGTTGCCGATGCCGAGTATCCTCTCCCTTGGCCTGTGGTGCAATTCTATGAGGAAGTGAAGTTGCCTGAATCTGGTTTGCAACCATTGCTTTATGCCGATGTTACGGATGTTACTTGCTACCACAGACGTGGGGTTCGTGCTTATCTATATTGACACCGAGAATAACTTATGTTCCAACACCGTCACATTTCCAAGAGTGTTAGTCATGATTATTTGGTCTTGTGCATACGAACAAGGAGTGACCAAGTCCGCTTTGGAAATCGGATATGGGCGCGATGTGAGCGAAATCCGGGATCCATCGAAGGTACTTCGTTGGCCTCGTGTGGTGCACGTTTTGTAGCGCTTAGTCTTAAGTGGGATAGGCGGGCCACTTCGATTGTCAGTGATGCCAGCCCCTGCCATGGATACGATCAAATTTTCCTTTGAGCGCTCCCGACTCAAAGGAGAGAACGATGTAGCGATCATGGAGTTGGCATTTGACAGCCTGCAAGTGATACACGTGGCGGAACTCCTTCACATTATTCACATAGTATCTCCTGTATGAAGTCGTCACTTTGCCTTTCTATATTTTATTGAAAAGATTTTCAGGATTATCGGCTCGGGTCTCATAACTGTTGGTGGTTTGCGGCTGGTGAGCTCCAACCGGTTCCCTACCATCATAACGTGCTGATTTCGTGGAAAAGTCGCCATCGGTTCACTCCAAGTATTTGGGAACGATTGGACTATACAGCCAAGTCGTGATTGGATCAAGTCCGCTGTCAAAGTCCTGGGAAGAAACACTGAAGAGTCAACTCAGAGAGTGCTAAGCCTATTCGTGGAGAAATGGAATATTGCAAGCGTGGTCGATATCACCCCCCTCACCGATGACAGGACATGGCTGGAAAACCGCTCCCGCCGACGTCAAGTTTAGTGTTCTTTTCGAATGATCTGACTTTTCGTGTTATTGCCTTACACATCATGCATCATGCGGTTTTTACTCTTAGATCCGGCACTTCACTGCCAACGCTGGAACCCCCTACATGCAGACGCATGCCCCAGAACCCACCCATTACCCGAACCCGGTGACAGATGTCGTCCACGAAAGCCCGGCTTCTTCAAATCTTCCTGAGATTCCGGGCACAGCTACTCAGCCATCAAATGCTCACCCCGGCCACCATCCGATGTCGCATCAACGAGTGAGTGCCTTTATTGACACGGGAAAAAAAAAGGGAGAACATTGAATTATTGCCTGTTTGCTAGACGGATAGCGGTATACTTCCGCCCCCCATCACACTATCTGAAACAACAATTCGCCCCAGCATTACTATTGTACAAGATGTACCTTCACAGCGAGGACGCCCCCGCCGAAGTAACCCCACAGCACCAGTGAGATTTGAGCCATTCAAAACGTTGATGCGGCTTACACGTCCTCCAACAGGAACCGGATCCCAGGAGTGCTGATGGCGCCCTAAGGGGTCCCAGCCATACACCACCGTCACTACCCGATCGCGCCCAAGCTCTGCCTTCAGCATTAGGATTCCACACTGGCAACACCCCTCCCCCATCGTATACAGTTAGTGAAGACCTTTCTCATGAACTAAATGGACCGCCCTCCGAGGTAAACTGTTACTGTCATGTGGTCATTTCGCGCACCCATCAACCTCCACCAGTATTCCGTTAGTCCACAACTGTCCCGGCGCAGTACATACACAAGCACTGCCAGCACTCAACCTGCGTCACTCCATGGTCCAGAGCAGGGAAGAGATTATTGGAATTTACCGGAACGGGTGACTGTATAGCCTCCTAACCTGTTTGTAAGGAATACTGACATCGGTACGCATCTAGGCTGAAGGGTCATCTCGATCCCGGGCTTTTCCTGGCCAAGGTTCCGAGTTTGTTAGAAGAAACCCTTGGAATGAAACTATTGCTGAAGAAGGTAGCTCACCACTCACCGAGACAGACCTACGACGAGGATTTTCAATTTCATCGGGAGGGAGTGTCGGCTTGTCTTCTGAGGACCAATTCCCCGCAGATCTACCTTCCTATGCCCCATCGATCGTCAGTGTGAGTATCCTCTAAGACGGCGCGCGAAATGTTGGGAACTAATCTCCACCCACAGAGTGCCTCAGATGCAGAGGACCTCCTTTCCCTGGTTTCACGCATCCTACAAAGCCGGGGTCAGTATTGCCAGAGTATTTCATTCTCTCGTCAACCTAAACTTTCTACAGACCCGCTTGACGTTGAAGTTTTACTAGCCACATATCCGGCATTCACCACCAGTCCTGATTTGCTGGGAGAGCTCAAGAGGATTTATGAGCGAATGCCTCCGGGTCACGATGTTGGTATGGAAGTTCGAAGACGGTAAGGCACTCCGGATGCACTCGGAGAACCGTAGTTGAAGCCACAATAGAATCCTGCACGTCATGCGTCAGTGGGTATCTGGCGAGTTTTGGGATCCCATCCTGGGTTCCGAGCTGCAGAACTTTCTGTACAACCAACAAGCCGTGGACCTCGGCCTGCGAGTGAACGAGGATGTCGCCTTTATGTTCCGGAAGTTGAGCGAGCCATTACATCCGAACGATGATCAACTCGATGGAAGCGTGAGTTCAAAAAAATCTGCCACGCTTAGATGCTAAAATGCTCCCCAGAGCCTGTTCAACTTCGGGAGTGGAGTACCGCCCCCAAGCGGTAGCAGAAAAGGGTTTTTCAATCGCACCGCCTCACGGACCCTTTCTCATGGATCCCTACTGAAGATGAAAAGACATGACTTAATCGAAATTGCGCGTGTATTGGAGGCAATGGAGGAGGAACATCGCGCTCGACTTAACATTCCCCGGATTACAAAATGGTTGTTGTGGAAACGTGGGCCTGGGTTACACTCTAATCGACCTTTCTCTCCCATGTCCGATAATGTTAGTCGAAGTAGCCAATTTTTTCTTGAAGCTTATATCTGACACGTTATTGCTGAAGCTAGCGAAATGGGTTATCGGTTCATGCTTACAGGGGGACATCACCCAGAGAGCTAACTCCTTCAAAATGATCCTCGACATCGCTGAGGTAAGCCAATGTGCTCAGAAGACCCAGCCGCATCGTAATCTCTTTCCAGAATTGTAGAGAAAACGGGAACTTGGCGTCAATGGAAGATATTTTATTCGGCCTAAAAGCCATCAGTGCATTGAAATGGACGAAGCGCCTGGCAGGGGATGCTGACGACAGGATCGCCAGGCTGATGCAATCTTTGAACCCCAGACTTCCTCATCGATTGTACCCACTAAGTAGGTGCAACTGACTCTGAGATAGGGCGACACATCAATAATGCTTGTCGTTGATCTAGACGGCCGAGTATATGGTCTCATTCCTTGCTTTCGAGCTGTGAAGTCCTCGACTGGACTAGTTCATTGGGGCAGGTGCCATACACTGTTTCGCCATCTCCGGGATTGCGTGCAGGCTCCAACCAGCGCTGCATCAGCGGTAGCGCCACACCCTGCCAATCGGGCATGGGTCTTGGATCAATTACGACTAGCTTGGGAGAACCGCGATGCTTATCCCACCCTCAGTGAGAAGGTAGCACAGGGAGAGGAGGAGGAATATCGCAAGAGAACCCGAACAGCAGCGGGTTTCTCGTAACTATTCCTTGTACACCTATGTTCTCTTTTTTGGGTACCACGGAATGAATGAATATGGACACTTCACTTGTACATCCCGTAATAAATATGTACATAGGCTCGAACACCCCGACGTTACCAGGGCATACAATAAGATCAAATGGCAGTTGGCTGAATCCTCTCGGGATGATTGTATGGGTCCCATTCAGCGGAGTTGGAGTCCAGTCCATCGAGTTGGGGTCCTTGAGGTATCAATTCTTGCAATCTCTGGCCAATATCGAGCGTCATGTCCGTGTATCTTGTAGACGTGGGCTGCAGCCTCGATTTGGAAGCGAATGTAGCATTGTGTGATAACGCGGAGGTCGGTGTCAGTCCAAACTGACGCCCGAAAGTCAGCCATAACAAGACATTTGTAGCTCCCGATGAGGCGAGGACCCATTGAGCGAGGATCGCCCACCCATGTCGCACCGCTGTGGGATGGTGCGAAGCAATAGGGAAATGATCAATGGCGCGAACTACAACTGTAGGAAGTACGAGGATAGCATATGCTAGGATATTCAATCATCAGCGAATAAGGCGCTACGCTAGTAAATTGCTAGGTACCTGCGGGGAATCTAGGGGATCAAAATGAGGTTGGAATTGTCGCTTGATGGATAAGCTGAAACATACGTAAAAGTCGCGCTATTTGGGCGTTGACTATCGAGCGGACTATCCATAGGCTCGACCTTTGCGGTTTTGGCGCGATTTAAAACAGCACATAAACAGCATGTCGTACATATCCCTAGTCCAAACCATATCCATGCAGTTTCGGCTCCTGAGGGATATTGTCATCAAGTGCCTCTATGATATACCTGCTGATGTGCCCACCAATCCGTAACCGACGCGTCACAGGCTTTTCGCCGCTGATCCAGCACCAAAGACTGAAAGGAAGTACGATTGGTCCACTGGTGTCCAACACGAATAGCCAATAAGAGTACATACTCGTTGCTACCATAGTAATTTGGAATCATTGCTGATGGGATGCTGATAAGTAAAGCGAGGAAGACGATTATTGCCAGCCCGACAGCATAACTCAGATTCCGCTCCCTCTTTGTATGGGATCTGGGTGGCGAAAGGGTGTAGATGATCATTACCATGGCGATGATGCTGGTAATGAGCGCTGAATAAAAGGATGGCATACAGGACTAAGGCATTGTAGTTACGGTCAACCAAGCAAACGAACCTGATCCTGTGTCTCCCATTTGAGTGAGAATACCTAACGGGGAAAGGTAAGAGGGTTTCCGACAGGCAGGGAGATGCCCACCTTGTGTCGTGCAGTATGCGCCGGGATGTACTCTGCCCTCAATGGACCATCGTAGACTGAGGGCCGATCCTAACGCTTGACAACTATTCCGATCTTAAGCCAAGACATAAGATGAGCGTCAAAGTCGACAACTTACGCATTTGCAAATAACAAGTAGAGAAAAAGCACACTGGTAGGTTGTATGTATGACTTGTCTGGGAGCACCCCGCCATACTGGCGGTACGAGCGAATGATGCGTGACTGTTCTCAGTGGGTAGAATAGATTATTGCACATGAGTATGACACGCGCAGTACCCCAACAATTTTAATGCCTACTGCGGTGCTGAAGAGGAGCCAGGAACTCGTTAGGAACGATATACATGCTGTCTCGAAGATGACCTTCATTGATGAACCCCTTCTGTGAGCTGAAGTGGGAGGCGCCGAACATAACATACAAAGAGCCCAATCCGGACCGAAAATTTGCCCGAAAAGTCGTAGGGTGGAGTATCCTGGTTAGACCCAGACATGTTGAGAAGGGTGAAGTCTTGCGCGAGGGATAGATGACTCCAGTTAAGATGTATCTTTGTCAAGGAGCAAACGCTGATTAAACGTGGAACATGCGCCTAGCACTCGTTGCACAGGCTTCTCTAAAATGCGGTGCCCCCTCGATTAAGCAGGCCGTTTAGGCGCAATTGGGGATGAGAATGCGGTCGCGATGTACCGCTCCGAATTCCAAGTTGATTTACGATAGGCGCGACGGAGCGATCCGTGTTCAGTGTCATCACGATGCCACCCATCTCAGATCCACTGCATGATGAAACTTTGGTCAAACTGGGCAAGTTGCACACGCGCATCCAAGATGCGCTGTCGTATCAGGTCCCACGACTGTTCAATCACACTGGATCTGTTGCGGTGCACCAACAGTACGCCGCTGAATTGCGAGAGGACATTGAGTCTTTTCGTCGAGAGCTAGAGGTAGCTGATAGCTTCGAGCTTAAGTTGTGATGACTGCGCATGTGTTGATCAAACTCCACCATGCTCAAGATATTAGAGACATTCGTAGACGACATTCGAAGCGATGAACGACGTAAAGATATTTACTCACAGCTTGACGAATTAGTGGCTCAGGTCGAACAGTAAGATATTTCTAAATATCCAAGGAATTATTTATCTCACTATGAACAGGCTGAAAAAGCAATTCCGTGCCGCTTTGCTGGCGTCAAAACGTGCTATCGATTCTCAGGCTCGCTCGCAGCGAGACGAACTCTTTAGGTCGTCTCCAGTAGCGTCTGCAGTTAGTAAGGAGAATGATCAGTCGTATGCCCACTCCACGGCTTTCTGTTTGGTCCTGTGCTGAACTGAAGCGCCTGTAGGGGAGATGCATTGATGAATGCTAGTGCTGCGGTTACCCAGGCACTGCGACGTACTACAGTTTTAATGCAGCAGGAGCTTGAGCGATCGGTCCTTTCTACCCAAATGCTTGGTGCGCATAGCCGGTATATCTTCGCCATACATGCTAAACCGATTCACAGAGGACTCCACTCAAACCATGACCGTAACCTCTGATTTGTATTCATCATTTTCAACACTCTTGAACACATCAAAAACCCTTGTCACTGCTCTGGAAGAGGCTGATTGGCTGGACCGCCTTCTGATACTATCATCTCTCGCCTTCTTTCTCTTAGTTGTTGCCTACATCATCAAGAAACGCATTATTGACAAAGGCCTCTGGCTCGCCTTCTGGTGGGTGAAGTATGTGCCATTACCACGTGCTGGTGGATCGTCTCCTATTCCCTTCAATGGCGCAGCAACCTCGGTACTCCCATTAGTCTCTTCCGACACCTCAGCATCCATTATCACAGTGTGTGCTGCTGCTACCACTGCCTTTTCCACACTTCCGATGCCTCCTGAGACACTTTCAGCCCTCGCAGAACCATCGCCTACTGATATCATAGGCACATTAACAGGGGAACCCTGGGAGGCGCATGGTGGCCCTTTGGGTTTCAGTGGCCTGGATCGTACCACTACGCGAGCACTTACAAGTTCGGACTCCCCGATCAGTAGAGAAGTACACCATGAACTATAATAAGTTGTGCGGATTGTCCGAGGCGGAGATACATGATACACTTTACTTCCTCTTTGGCACACATGTACAGGTCGAAATGCGATGCTACGCTGCCGTCATGCACAAAGTTACTGAAACTAGAGGGCCAGCACGTTGGAGCCTCGCAGCACGAAGCTCCATCGATGAGGCAAAGTTTCGTGTGTAGCAATGCACGAATTAGTAGCGAAATATCATTTGCGGGCCTGTGCAAGCTTCCATTTGGCGATATTGGTTCCGACGTTCTCGCAAATCACCTCGTTGTTTGGTCGTGCACTGAACCATTCGTGCACATCACCGGTAAGAAACAGTCGCCTAGACAACCATTCTTCAGTTGAGCGCAAAACCTCGCCTGTCGAGTCGGTAACGTCTCCGTTCCCTGAGGAAGAAGCCAGAAGGGAGAAGTCGCGATATGAATGTCGGAGGACGCTCCATGAATGTTCTCGCAATGTGTTTCTGAGACCAACAATAGACTTTGACAAAGCAAGCTGGCAAATGTATGGGAAATAGGGATCTAGAGCTGTGCCGTGTTTCTTCCGATCTATGGTCCGCGGATCATCGAATTTTATGGGTAGGCGCGATGGCTGAAGTAGCTGATGCACTTGAACATACTCGAACCGACGAATGCGTAATGAGAGAGTCTCGAAATACAGAAGCAGCTGTCCACCCGTGCATGTTTTCAAAAGGGAATCCTTGATCATGGATATGAACGGTCCTTGCGCAGAGAAATTGGAAACTAGCAAGTCTAGCAGGTATAACGCAATGATGCTGTCCTGATATTGTGTTTTGGCGACCGTCCCCCCACTCTCCTTTGCCTTGGAGGCCTTAGGGGATGAGATGGGCTGCGAGTAGACGGTGTTCACAAGTTGCGCAAGCAAATGCGAAGCCTGAAGGTTCTCCCCAAATATGATGCAGATAAGAGTTGATTCTTCACACACTAATGCGCTTGCGAGGGGACTTAGTCGTTGAGTAAGCGGAACCAAGCAGCCTATTCACCTTGGGTGGCAAATGCGTCAACACGTTTAGACGACATGATGCCTTCCCTTAATTTCCCTGCCCTCCAAATGAATTCTCCGCTAAATGGGAATGCCATTGAATGACCCACTATAGAGAATTAATATGCTATGTCGAGCCTCTTTCATCGCTTGACTTGGAGGAGCCGCTGGTTCTCGGAATTTGTGTAATGCATCATATTTTTCGATCTGAAACGTATGCGACAAGCATAGATATGAGTGTAACAGGTGGGTACTTGGATACAATACCTGCTGATCTATGTATTTCTTATACTTTTCTTGAGTGTGGTGTCCTGTTAAGCTTCCAGCCACCCGATAAACAACACGGGAAATGTGCCTCAGGTGACAGTTTTTGACTCACGCATCCCCCCCCTTCTCTAAACCACCACTGCGGCTGACGGAGGAGACAAGGGCTATATCTTCTTCTGCATTTTGGGCATTCTTAGTCGCTCTCATTCTCGAGTTTGCCCACTTAGATTTCGGCGGCATTGGATCGACTTCCTGGGTGTGATCCTTCAATGAGATCGGGGTCGTGTGACTTTGTGGACGTGACGTGACACACTGACGTGCATCAAACTCGGGCACTATTTGACACGTATCCCACACCACGTGGGTCAACGTCGACACCCAGCCCGCGAGCAATGGGCGAGACGTCGAGGAGACGGATATGTGGATACAAATTAGCCTTTCTGGGATTCTGTGTTATTGCCAGTGCAGCGTTCGCGCGTGCCGCTTCAGATCCCCACGACCAATCTAATGACCATACAGATGGCGAGGCCGTTTTAGCTGAAGAATCACCTGTAAGACACCTTTGCTATTCTCATCTTTTCATGCCTAATTATTGCGTTACAGGTATACTATGACAAATCTCTGGAAGCATCTAGCGCTTACAAAGAAGCCATGCAAACTTTGCACTCCCTCTCACCCCCTTCGAAACCCGATACTCCATGGAATCCTAATCAGAACTCGCGATCCTTCCTTTCCTACATATTCCCTAATCCACAAGGCCCAATCGCATCAGCTATACGGATAATTTACAAACTCAAATCTCATAACTGGATTCCCAGATGGCTTTCTGGAAAGTTTGAGGGTGTTGACCAAAACCAAAATTCCAAGTGGGGCATATTTCGCTCTTCGTCTAAGGGTGTTGCCAGTGGAAAAGTGTTGAAGGTCATTGATTTGTTACAACATTCTGCGGATCTGGGAAACATGGATGCGGTCTTCACACTTGGCAGAATATCCCTCTTCCCTCCATCACCACTCCCTGCCAATGCATCTCGAGCATTCCATGCTTTTCTGAAACACTCTCATGCTACCGGGAATGCAGCTTCACAAGCGTATGTAGCATTTTTCTACTCTACCGGCTACGAAAACGTTGTCCCAGTGGATCAAGCGAAAGCCCTTCTCTATTACACATTTGCAGCGCATGGTGGAAATGAAGACGCGGAAATGGCGCTCGGATACCGCAATTGGGCTGGCATAGGTATTAAGGAGGATTGTATGGTTGCATTAGAATGGTATGAAGCTGCTGCAGAATCCGCAATGGCACATTTCCTGTCAGGCCCTGCCGGCGGGCGGACTCTGCCTCGTACATTTACGCGTATTTCCGATCTGCAGGGGGGTGTCTACGGCCCGGGCGCAAGTGTCGCTTCGACAGGGCCCAATGTGCACCGGCCTGCCATAAAAGCTTCAAAGTCTAAAGGTACCGGTGAGACATGGGAAGATCTTCTGGAATTTTATCAGGTTTGCCTCATCACTTTCGGTGCCAATTGTCGTGCTAACGTCGTTTCCATGGAGTTCCACGCAGATCGTGAGGAGCCCGAATATGCCCTTCACCTTGGTCGAATATACTACCAAGGCGGGATCTACCAGGCTCCAGGAGGTATTGCATCTGGTACCGAGGGCGTTGGTGCCCTTTCTCGTGATTTCGCCCGCGCCAGGCATTACTTCTTGCAGGTGGCAAGACAAGTTTGGTTGCCACCCGTGAAGGGTAGCAACAAAAAGGATGCCCATCTACGGAAGAAGGAGAATCTCGATGACCACACACTTGTTTCAGCTTCCATAGCGGCTGCTTACCTAGGGCGCATGTATCTTCGTGGCGAAGGCGTCAAATATGACCCACAGTCAGCCAAGATGTGGTTTGAAAGGGGTGCAGAGTTTGGCGACAAAGAGTGCCATAATGGCCTGGGCATTATATGGAGAGACGGGCTTGTTAACAGGAAAATCGATGAAAAGGTTGCCAATGAGTGTTTTTTCGCCGCCGCAAGTCAGGATCTTGCTGAAGCCCAAGTCAATCTTGGGAAATTCCATTACAGTTAGTTTCACTTTTCCCTCATGTTTTCGTAATCTGATGGATTTTCAGATCATCGTGAGCTTCCGTTGGCCCTGAAGTACTTTGAAGCAGCCATCAGACATGGATCTCCTTTTGAGGCGTTCTACTATATCGCATCTATACACGCCAAACGCGCACAGGATCGGAACTCGATACCTTCCCTCCGCGCAGGGTCGTGCGGGGTCGCGGTTTCGTTCTTCAAACTGGTTGCTGAGCGGGGTTCCTGGAAGAACACACTGATGAGCGAAGCAGAGTCACTCTGGCTGAGGGGGGGAGATGCGGATAAGGAGGCTGCTAGACTGAGATGGTGGATGGCGGCGGAGCAAGGATTCGAGGTTGGGCAAAGTAACCTTGCTTACGTGCTGGATCAGCGTATGTTCCTGAACATGGTCGGGTGGTTTCCACACTGATGTGCCCTACATTTTCAGATAAGAGCTTCCTCCAGCTACCCAACTCCCGGAAACCGGAAAATAACACTGCTCGCCTGGCGCTCGTCCAGTGGACGCGTTCGGCTGCCCAGCATGACGTCGATGCCCTAGTCAAGGTCGGTGACTACTATTACCACGGCTTGGGAGTAAACGACGAGTCCGAGGAATTGCGATGGGAGAAGGCTGCTGGATATTATCTCAGTGCTGTTGAAACTCAACGAAGCGCATTAGCCATGTGGAATTTGGGATGGATGTATGAGAACGGGAAAGGCGTTAACCAAGTATATCCACTTACTCCTGCATGCAGAAGATTGCACTGACAATCGTTGCCTCATAGGATTTTCACCTCGCAAAACGTTATTATGATATGGCATTGGAAACGAATTCCGAGGCCTATCTTCCAGTCGTTCTTTCGGTTGTTAAACTCTACACTCGAAGCCTTTGGCATACTCTCGCAGGCGGTCGCGATAAGGGACTAATATTGTGGGGAAAGGACAACACCGAGGATGATCATTGGTATCTTGGGAAAGCTCGAGAGGAGTTTGCCAAGCGCTGGCGAGGACGCAGAATCCCAAAGTCTGATAGGAAAGGTGTGGATGAAAACAGCGGGAACAACAATCGAGAATCGCTGGAGGCGGATGACCCAGTTCAATGGGCGAAGGATAAAAAAGAAGCCGACATCGAGCGTGCACGCGCTGAAGAGGAAGCCTTTGAGAGAGGAGATTTCTTTTCTGGAGATTTTCTTGCTACCGGTGACCCTCGGCCTCGACGACACGAGGATGCAGCGGAAGAGTTTTGGGAAACGATGTTTCTGGTGCTCATATGCGTCATGATTTCGTGTTTGATCTATGTTCGCGGGCGATATGTCGCTCGAGCGGAGGCAGAACGGAGACGAATTGCTCGCCAAAATGCAGAAGCAGCTGGGGTTCCGGCAGTGGGGGGTACAGCGCATCAGCGTGCGCAGGCGATGGTGGAGAGGAGGTTGGAGGAGCAAAGAAGAGAACGAGAGCAAGTACAGGAGAGACAACCAGTGTTCCCACATCCGGTCGAACCGAGTCCTCCGACAGGGTTGTTTGAGCCTGGAGAAGAACCACCAGACTACTGATCTTGTTTGGAAGCGTTGGAGACGGAGTGTACCTAGTCAATTTATTGCCTGCAATCATTGATTTTTCCTAGAGTCTCAACAGTCGCGCTTTAGGCACCTCGGAATAAACTCCGACATCATAGATATGTAAATATACATGTGGATTACTATGATACTCAACATAACCCAAACCACTGAAGTCCACGTGTCGCCTTATCGCCTTCGGTGCGGGAGGGTCGATGCAGGGACGAAATAAACTGGCCCCGTATCGCCCGAAGGGCTCTGGTCATCCTCAGCGGTGTCTATTACCTACAAGTAGGATCAATCGAAGTAAGGACGTTGTGAACAGAACCGTTCGGCTCAATAGATAACACTTGCCAACTCGGCAAAGCGCTCGCTCAGTAAATATTGCTGCTGCTCATCCAGGAGCCTTCGAAACATTGCGTTATCCTCCTCCTCCCAGTCATCATTCTCTCCATCTTCCCAGTCATCCTCCTCATCGTCATCGTCGTACTCGTCTCCGTAATCAAGTTCACCATCTCCGATTCTTGACATGAGCGTCTCGAAGTTTGTGCTCAGCAAATCGTCAGCAAATGAGTCAAGTGCATCTTGGAACCGAACGTAGTTCGCCTCGCGCATCATCCGCGTGAGGCGCCTTTCTTGGGCGGCTTGCATTTTCTCAGCACCATGCTCGAATGTAATCTCCTCTCCATTGGCATCGAGATGCTGAAAGAAGCAGTCGCGACCTATTTGAGGCCCCGTGTCGTGCAGGCAACAACAATGTGAGGAGTGTGGGTACGTACCAAAGGGGCAGAAGGGCTCCCGCATCAGAGATAAGCTCTTGGCTATGTGCCTTTGTGTGCCGGAAGCGTAAATGAAGGGTGGCTAAGGGTTTGGAAGCAGCATTGACGCACTTGCATGGGATCTTGGAGAGTCTCTTCTTGTATTGGTCAATGGTGATCTTCTTCATTGGATTGTTATCAGGATAGAACTTGTCGGAAGGGACCACGAATGATGACGGAGTACGGCACACTGGACAAGTCTTTATAACGCCAGATGAAATGGTTTGTAGATCTTTGTCAGAGACCGCCCGCCACGATCGAATGCATTCCATGCAGAATGGATGGCTGCAACCCGCTAAACAGCTGATTATTAGACTCGGGTCACACATCGAGGCAAGGATGCTCACGTAGCAGCCCATACTGTGCAGGCTTCTCTTCATAACAAATAATACATGGATGCTCGACCTCAGCCACACGCTTCGAAGCCGTAGATGGCGCGCTTTCAGAATCCTTGCTCGCCGCATTGGATGGAGCGGCCCGACTGCCAGAACCAGCCGGAGATTCGTGTTTGTAAAAGCATGAAGTCCCTCTTATGCAATTCCCTGACGTTGCGTTCAGCAGATGACAAGTTCCGCGCATATGCGACAGTCATTACGCACCAGCGGCGAAGAATCTACACAGCGGAGTGCCGGAAGGATTCACTGACGAGGACGTGTTTGAGGGTTCCCGGGGACTGATATGAGCATAACGGCAGGAATCGCCTCTAAAGCACCCCCTGGAGGTGTTAAAGTAACGGCAGACCGGTTCATACAGTGACGACATGAGTGGTCGACCGCCGTGAGACGCGAGATTCGAAACCGGCTCCTAACTGCAAGACCAGGGATTCGTTTACAGGAGCCCGAGAAGGGTGGGGGTTAATATGTTGACGAGACGTGTTCTGTCACAAGAGGCAGTGACAGTCGTTGGATCGACGCCAGCGATGCGGATGCAAACGTTCGAACGCATTTCAATATTTCCCAGAAACGCCGAAAAGCTGCACTTACGAAATCGTCATTCCCTCTATGGCTGCGCTGGCTCAATGGGAGGATCTTATTACTGGCCCTCAGCTTGAAGGACACATCGCTGACATTCTGTCCATCCTTTTCGAGCCTACGAATATCCTCATCACTCATGTTGGCCCTGCAATTGCCACGCAGTTGTCCGACCCAGCCTTCACCCAACATCCAAAGTCTTATCAAGATCTGATTGATCTTTCTGCGAGTCATATTGAAAAGCTCCACCCGCGCGATCGATCCGAGTTCATTCGCGGTCATCCACGAATTGGAGAAGTTTCAAACCTTTCTGCACTGAGTGCGGCCGAACAAGCATCAAAGAAGACCCCTCCTGAAGTCCTCAAGCAGTTGGAAAGGCTGAACGTTATTTATGAATGGTCCTATCCTCGTTTGCGCTACGTTACGTTTGTCAATGGTCGTTCGAGGGCAGAGATTGTCCCAGAAATGAAGAAGCTCCTAGGAATTACAGGGGACCTCGATGATGTCACACAAGAATCCACTGTCGTGTGGAATGAGGGAAGTAAGGAGTGGTTGACTGAGCTGAACCGTTCAGTTCATGCTACCATTCTCATCGCCAAGGCGAGGCTGGATGCATTGGGCGTCATCTGACGTCCAAATCGATCGAATCAGTGGAAGGAGAAAAATCGAAGATAGATGGAGTCAAACACGGTGTATACGTTTGGATGCACAATGTATGTATATCAGCCCAGTCTCGATCTGTAATTCGTCGCGTCCGTAATTTCCAAACCGCGCGCACCCATATTCTTATGTATCGTCGCTGTTGAATCACGCATGTTGAGCCTCAAATCACTGATATTTCACCCACTAGAGTGCTCGCGTCGCTCGCGCCAACATGCACTGCCAACCAACTGAATTTCGTATCACAAGCAAGGAACCAAGATAAAAATTATTCGTTACAAGATTTATAAAATACAAGAAAGGCATTGATATACACGCATCCTGAATTCAGGACAGTCGTCGTGCAGCAGCAGCAGATGCGCATTCAAAACGAGGGATGGACGGAACTGCTGCGCTATTGTCGACATGGATAATCTGAAGGAAGACACTTCAGCATGTTGCGGGGATCGCTGATGTCAAGACCTGCAGCCGTCACAAGTCGCCATGTAGTGCGAATGAAGTGGAACGAAGTAGCATTACGCCAACAGTGCAAAGCGAGTGGAGGAAAGTTGTATCGTTCTCAGCAGTGACCATTGACGACAAAAGAAAAACGGCGATTAGCGCGGTACGTGATGACAAGGGATACTCAGCGCGGGTGAAGTGACAGGGAAAGCTCACACCTGTCATGGGACTGGCGGTGGGGCTGCAAAGTCATCGTGACAACGAATATCGACACGGACATGGACAGACCGAACGGGGTGCGAGGAGAAGGATTCAAATATGGGTAGATCCGCGTGAAGAAGGATGCAATAGTGGGGCACCCGTGCAATGAGGTATTCACCTAGTTGCATGTTGATCAAACTGGAATGATTTCGACAGGGACAAGTGGCGGGGTTGGAAGCATTGACAATTCTGTTGTTTCCAGTGGTGGAAACGATCAAATACACGACGGGGAAGGGCATGAAGCTTATATGGGCAGACATCGGGACGCGAGAGGACTGAGGCAACGTGGACGGAACAACGTGGGATTTCGACAACTGGCGCCATGTGAAGTGTTGGATGATGCTAGGGGAGCACAGGAGGACGAAAAGGGAATGGATGGAAAGGATGAGGCAAGGGGACGGTGATGAAGGCGAGCAAGGTAGTGGAAAGAAGGAGGGTGCCCAATCGGTCTTTTCCGAATTGCAGATACTAGAGGAGCAGTAGTGACTGCAGTGCAGGTAATCCTCACGGATAGACCAACTAGATTTCCAGTCACCATGGCAAAAAGGGGTGCGTTTATTGTTATCGAGGGACTTGATCGGTCCGGGAAAACGACGCAAACGACGCTTCTGCACGATCGGCTCGTAAAATGCGGAATTAGCGTCAACCTCTACAAGTTTCCCGGTGTGCACTAGGTCTCATTGCTTCGCCTCTGCATTAGGACGACGATATCCTTTACTCTTTGCTTGTAGATAGGACCACATCGACAGGAAAGATGATCGACTCGTATTTACGCTCTCAATCGGAAGTGGACGACCGCGCTATCCATCTGCTTTTTTCTGCCAATCGCTGGGAAGCGGCGTAAGTTAAAGGGCTCGTTCTATTCACTTCACAGTCTTATTCGAATTGAATCAGTGAAAACATGATTCAAGAACTTAAGTCGGGAATAACTATCGTCTGTGATCGATATGCATTTTCGGGAATTGCTTTCTCGGCTGCTAAAGCTCTTCCCCCCCTATCAACTCCCAGTCCCGGAGACGTGTCCACCCCGGCTGAGACACCCCGAACACTCACCTATGAATGGTGCCGAGCACCAGATACAAATCTGCCGTCCCCAGACCTTGTACTTTTTCTTGACGTCTCCCCTGAAGTGCAAAAATCACGAGGAGGCTATGGCGAGGAAAGATATGAGAAGGAAGATGTGCAGCGGCGTGTTAGATCAGTATTCAGACGAATCGAATCTGAGTTCCATCAAGAGAGCGAGAGTGGAGCAAAGACATTACGATGGATCCATATAGATGCGGGACGGACATTGGATGAAGTCAGTGAGGACATCTGGAGTGGCGTCGAACCACTAACCGGAGGCGTAGAAGAAGCGCTTGCACGCTTATGGAGCGGGACACCATGAGATTTTTAGAATTCAAGTCATCAATCACCTCATATTCCACAACTACATATCATGCAATTACACCTTTATGCAGACAGAAGCCCAAGCTGGGAGGGTTGTACATCGCGTCGTACGTACAGCATTAAGGATGAGGTTTCCAGAAAACCTCAAAGAGGCAGACTAATCCCGTTAAGGAGCAAGAATGGTATAGAGAATACTTTGTGCAATAAGGGACTGAAAGAGAGTTGGAGTGTTATAGGATAATTTTAAGAGCTGAGCCAAAAGGATATGCCGAGAACCAACGGTCATCAGATAGATGATAGTCTCGAGACTACAACTGCAAGAGCGATCAGAATTCCCCATCTCCATCGATTCCACGCTGCGTCCTTCCATGAGGCTGCCCATCCGAGAGGCGGCTGATCCGGTGCGTTTCCTTTAATCACCGAAGCGGAAGATTTAGGGACATCATCACTTGCTGGAGGTTGAGGGACCGGGGAAGGCGAAGCAGTTCGCATCTGGGGCAACGGCGTTCTCGGGAGGGGGGACTGTACTACAGTCGGTGTTTGCGATTTCCCTGGAAAATCGCCACGATCACGTTCACCCATGTTCGGGAGGTCTTTCATCTCCTCGTTTGCATACTAAGGGGCGACATGACAGTGACTTCCCAACTGGGGTGAACACGGCAACCTACGTCAGGAAACATCTCCACAAAGCCACGCTGCTTGCGGTTCCACTCATGGCTTCTGGCGGCTAATATGCGTTTGTCTTTGTCTTCAGATGTAACAGAACCGGTGGTCATTTCGTCGGACAACATGAAGCTCAGCAGTCCAGTCAATCTAATCGATGTCTGAAGATTAGATGGTCCCGAGATACATAATGTTGTTTCTTACATTGTTGCGACACTCCATGCTGGGTTCCACTGTCATAGAGAAGACGGAGTGAGCCGTGACGCTTGTGATGAGCAGAGAAGGGATCACGAACAGAGCCTGGGTGGAAATCTGACATGGAAAAACATATTTTCTTGTTAGGTTGGAAGCGCCCCGAAGGAGTGAACATCTACGGGGAAAGGAAGGTCGTCAAAATTGTGCCCAAGGCCCTAAGCTCAAATGGTCCGCTGAACCTTGATTCCTGGAGGCTTAAACGGGTATTCGGATGGAAACAGGAGCACACCATGATATTCTCCACCAGCGTACGGGGAGTCCGGTGGCCCACGCTATAAATTGCGAAAACAAAGAAAGAGTTGGTGGCCTGGTTCACACAAGCGGCCTGTGGCGCAGACTTACGATGAGATAGTGCCCTAGAGTATGAACTCAGCTTATGAAGCCAGCAATATATCTTAGATAGACACTTACAGGTTAGAATGTTCTTTTCCTCCGGAGCGGCCCAGACGAAGGGTGGAGGGGACGTCTGCATGGCAACATACTCCTTAGACAACTGGAGCGGTGGAGACCGTCAGCACCGGTCCTGTGTTTGAGACATATTTCAGTATGTGGAAGCAAGTCTTACACGTTTGCTGGCCGCCTTGGAAGCCATATATGTTTCACGGCGAATGCACGAGTTAGTGAGGCTTGAGGCAGGAATGCGTGAGGCAAGATTGCGAAGGCAGTGAAAGTGGGGTCGTGATAGATTAAGCCTACTGTTCGATTCCGGATGCAATTATGCGACCCCCAGATGTCACCGCATTTAGCCGGCATCTTGACTCAACCTTCCGACGCGAGTCAGTCAATCAGCTTACATTTGTCTTGCGCTGTGGAAGGATGTATCACAGCTGGCCCACAAGCCCAACTATACTGAAAAAGATGTCCCTCAGCCTTCTATCATTTTCTCTTTAATTCTAATTGCCAGCTGTCTCCGACACTGGATGGGTTACGTTAATTACCTTAACAAAAATTGAAGCCGAAGGTCACCCATCGGCGAAGGTATTCAATGCAGTGTGTGATGAGTTAAAGAACCGATTTGATAGCCCAACGATGCAGATAAACTATGTATGCATACATACAACTCGGACAAATAATCGGCATGAGTCGGCAGTTAAGGCGGTCTATGGGCGTATACATTGGAACGGAGGAAATAACAATGACCGAGCCACTCACCATTCACATTAGCCAGATCTGTCTCATCGTTCCTTGAGCAGGGCACCCACAGAGGCTAATGCAATGGAAGAGGGCGGCTACGGGGTGGCGCCTCGACACCGAAGTGGCCGATTGTCCTGCATCTGAGATAGCGGTGGAAGTGAGATGATTGAAATCAGGCAGGTAATTAGGGGAATAGCCTATGATTATCTCCAGAGAAAGTAGACAAGACCATAAATGAATATTAGTATGGAAATTTCACTTCGTAATGGATACTGAATAACAGGTTGGATGTTGGGGAGTTTGGCTCATGGGCCAGGGAAGGTCCCTCTGTTATGCACAATCCATCGTTTGTATCGTGCTTGAGAAATTGGATAAAGGGATGTCGGGAAAGCCGCTTAGCCATGTTCGTTGTTCATCTGGCCGAGATTGGGTTTCAACGACATTCTGTGGATTCTCAAAATTGCCCATTGTTTCATGAACATTCGCTCCTTCAGCAACAGTACCAGTTCCTTCAGGGATATTATCCGTCCCTTCAACAATGTTGTCTGCTCCTTCAAGAACGCTATCCGCTCCCTCGGGGGTGCTATGCATTCCCTCAGCAACGTTGTTCGCACTCCCGGTGAAAGTCTCTGAAGTCTCTGCAACTGGGCGTTGCTGCTTCTGCAGTCCGCACTTAACTACCTGAACCATCTTCGTATTGGAAGAAGATATTCGAATGGTTCTTAGTAGGTGGAGGTACGATGTATCGACGCCACCCCACTGTCGGAACAATGCGACAGTCGACTCATCGGTGAGATCAGGGAGTTCTGCAAAAGAAATCGTGTGTGGTCACATCAAAAATGATATGACAATACGTACCTAACCCAGTCCGATATTCCTCGACATCTCTCAGTTGTTGTTCCCGAAGAGCAACCTCTCGTGGGCGACGAGGTTCCCCCTTCCTCCTCCTCGACTCCTCGGCTTTTATGGCTTCATTATGCCGAGTGATCCATACAGACGAAACGAGTTCGTGCAATTCTTCGAGAGTGAGGGACGGTACGTCTGGCGGTAAGGCGAGATAAAAGAAACCAGCTCGATCCACTAAAATTTGACGATAAAAAATTCCGAAGGATTCCACGGTGCCTAAACGTTGTTACCTTTCGCTGTCTGTTGCTTTGAGCGCACAGAGGTTTGAGTGGCTAATTTACTGGTTCGGAGAGCCGCCCGCTCCAGCTTTCCAGCTTTTCGCGATCTAGGATGGAACACTTTCTCCCTCACAGCATTCTGTGCGGCCTTGGCCTTCAAAGCTGCAGCCTTGGATGTAGGTGCCATGAAATTGTCCCTGAAGGAAGGAAGGAGGGCTGCGGCAAGCGCCGCAACCGTTTCCGCATTTGGGTTTTTGACACCCCTCCTTGCCCGAGCTTCCTTATCTCTCTGCCGATAGCTTAATGTCTGTCAGAGGACCTAGGTCGTCTCATGGCGGCCCGCCTTCTCATCACCGGCAGCAAAGCTCGTCGTCCATAAGCTACAGCCACGGTGTAAGTCACCTGCCCTCTTGTGATTTCGATGTTTTGATTGAGGATCAACACTCCTAGTCATCTCCAGCCGTTGAATCGGCTGTGACGCGGCTTCTAATGGCCATCAAACAGCTACTCGAGGCATTGCAATTGTGGAGTGTTGGGAAAGTCACCGACCAGCAAGTCAGTGATAAGTACGTCCAACTTGGGAACGACTTCAATGCTACAGTAGCTGCGTTTGCTTCTGTTAGAATTGACATGAGGTGAGCTTCTTGTCGGCAATGAGGCAGGTCGGCCTTCGCTAATAAATTTGGTAGTGAGTTTCTTCCATTTCCTGACGACTTGCGGCATGTGCTTGAAGCAGCGCTCGCTGCGGATGAACCTGGTCCTGCCGTTCTCGAGGTGTATCTTCCACGAGTCAGAGCCATTATCACCAGTCTTCTTCACGGTCTTCGTGACAAACAGACCATTCTTAAGAAGCACTTTGCCGATCGACAAGAGCGTAAAGCCCGAGCAGAAGCTATGGGATTAACCTCTTCCCGCTCTGACAGACCCTCACACTCTTCAACATCTCGCAAAGACCGATACGCATCCTCTTCTCGGCCGTCATCTCGTGGCCCTTCTGAAGTAGGCTCGGACTATCCACGGAATGAATCTATATCTCGTTCATCACGTCATCCAGAGACATCAGAACTTCCCCCGTTACCCAACCGTGATTCGTCATTAAGTCATCCAGACGTGTCTTCGGGAGACCCCGTACCTGGCGCATATCCGGCGCCTTCACTCCAACATACACAAATTACCAACGAAGCCCAAGGGGTCCCAGTGAATGACGATAGCAAGCATGATGAGAACCCCGAATCATCTTTGCCCTTACAGCCCCAGACGACCGGCACCTCGCCCCCACCCCGTTCCTCTACACCTGTTCAGCGAGCTGATCGGTCTGGAAAGCACCCGTTGGGCCGGAGTCATGCTCGTGTTTCTCGGACGGCTGACGAGGAACGACCTCCAAGTAGACGCTCCTTGGAACATACCCGCCCAGAACTTCCTCCGAAACGCACCCCACCACCATCTGAGCCTCCCACACTCCCTCCCATTGAAGCCAACCCAGAACCTCTCATGTCATCTGCCCCTAGTCCTGGTCCGATCCCTTCCCATATCAAACGCTATTCTCTCAGCGATAACCCCGTTCCCCAATTACCGGCCATTTCCGTGGAGGGTTCATCTCCTGCACTCGACGATGTGGAAGTGGAAGAAAAGGGTCCTCCGACACATCCCGCCTCAGAAACGTCTCTGGCGGAGGTGATGTCCACACCAGCTGCCGAAGAACCACTGGCAGCTCTGAAGAAGAACGAACACTTAGCGCGACGTGCTTCCAAGCGATTCTCCGAGTATACCTTCTCCAAATTTGTTGGAAGTGGTCAAAATGACCGTTCAAATCGGAAATCGATGCTGGCTGCGTCCTCTCTGTTGAGCCCGTCCGACTTGAATGCTGTTGCAGAGGATGATACGACACCAGTTCCCTCCCCCTCCAAACCACGCAGGAACGAACTCACTCGGAAGAAGAGTCTTGAGGCGATGCGGAGGACATTCCAACCCGTGACGGAAGAAGAGGAGCCTCCGTTACCTCCCGTGCCTGCGATGGCTCGAGAGCCTGTTCCCTCGAACAGTATGCGAGCGGGGGTTCCCACAATGCCAAGCACGATTCCTCAGGTCCCACCGGAAGGTTCGGAAGCAACTTCTCCTACGTTGACGAATGGCACCATTGACGCAACTACTGAACCGAAACATCCCACCCTCTCTACTCTCCAAACTTCTGATGGTGTCCAGACTTTGACCGTCTTCCTCCAAGTGGGAAAACAGGTGAAGAAGACAACGGTTGAGACTTCAGGTCTTAGCTGTGCCTCCTTGCGCGTCCTGTTTGTCGACAAATTTCAGTATAATCCCGGAACCAGCGACTTTCCCAGCATTTATATCCGAGATCCCAGCAGTGGTGTACAATACGAATTGGAGGATGTTGAAGAGGTTCACGATAGATCTTTGTTGTCTCTTAACATTGAACGTAAGATACACACTGCCTTCGGAGTAACTTGTGCTCACTTTCCATCATAAATGTTAGCTCTAGACCAAATAAAGCAGCACATTGATGTTCAAATGTCAGCACTCTCTCAAGAGCTTAGAGACCTCAAGACAACAGTCGCGGCCACAAGACGACAGTCTATTCAGGTCTCGCCTGCATTATTGCAGACCATTTCACCTGCAGCTACACCGGAGCGTCCTTCAGAAAAACGATTTCGGGATGCGGCGAAGCGCCTTACCCGAGTGATGGCAAAAGAAGATTTCATGAAGTTTGCCGAATTTGCTTCGGGCCCCCTACCCAACTCCCCCCAGTCACCACTGCCGTCCCCACTTGCCCCTCAGATGACTGGCGGTTCCACTATTTCAGATGAGCGAGCAGCTCGCATGGTTAGCGATCTCAAGGTTCAATTCGACGAGATACAGAATCTTCGCCGTGATTTGGGGGTTATGCGGCAGATCTACACGGAATTCATGGGGTCTACCAAAGACGCTCTTGTGCAGTTGCGGGGACAGGCGCAGTCGCTTCGTGAAGTAGCGACCGCTAAAGTTGGCGGCTCACGCGCGTATATTGATTCCGGCAAGAGCAAGCTTGACACCCGCAGTCAGGATCTCCTTACCAAAGTGGATGAACTCCAAGATACCGTGGAAGCCCTTCGGGATGATGTCTTGAAACGCCATGTTCAGCCAAAGCCGAATGCTATGCAGACGCTCAAGGCTAATATTGAAACTACTGCTGTGGAGCTTGAACGTCTACGCGAACATATCGCCTTGGTTAAACCATCCTGGAAGCAGACATGGGAGGAGGAGCTGCAGAATATTGTCGAAGAGCAGCAGTTCCTCAATCACCAGGAGGAGTTTGTCAAAGACCTGATCGAGGATCACAAGGCTCTCAAGGAAGTGAACGATCAACTTGCCCAGGTGTTATCTTTGCGTACCACCAAGGGGTCTCGAAACGGGCCAAAGTTCAACCCGCTCCCAGTAGAGGAAGGACATGAAGGCCTTAGCACTGTCATGCTTGAGATTCGTGGAGCCCAAGTAGATCCAGAAAAGCGCATGAAGGCAATTGAGGCGAACCAGAAAGCACGCCAACGTGAACTCGCAGACCGATCCGATGAATTTCAAGACGAATTGTCAAGTTTCGTCAGTGGGAAGAAATTGAAAATGACTGGCGGGGCGGAGGAAGCGGAGCGTGTCAGGCAGAAACGAAATGAAATGACGCTGAAGGCTATGTTCCAGCCGTCTGACCCCTGAACGACAAGATAACGATATTGCATGATTGGACACGTTTCCTTGGGCTTCGAGCTCTCCGCTGTTTTGTTTACTTTTGGGGTCAATATGTGCCTGACGATCTAGCAGCATGGCACCTCAATCTCTACTCACTGCTTTCAGATAAGAGAAATGTTGATACTCTGCTGCCGTCACAGGCTGATGAGTGCTTCTAAGATGAAGTACTATGTACCTGCTTCTTTTGTGATAGTTATTGGTTTCGTTTAGCAATATTATACATGGGAGAGTGTTTCACACACTTTCCCTCCCGAGGCTTAATTGAGCGCCGGCGCACAAGCGCGTTTCCCACGCACGGCGCCGGGGTTGACACTCCTCGTCACGTTTCGTGTTTCCCCATTGATTGGCCGTCCGATTTCCCGGAAGCTAGAGCTTCCATTTAGATCAGAAACACACCATTATCCGATCTCGATTGACACCATCTGGCCATGTCCAAGCTTGCGGAAGTGTCCAACAAGATCATTCCAAAGTTCCTCCCATCAAAAGCATCTCGCATAGATACGCAGCTCGCCCAGGATGGTGCTGTAATCGATGGTCCCAAAACTCCGGCAGATGAGGCTATAGATTTCTTCGAGTCCATTCCCAGTGCGAACGAAGAGCCGATACAGGTTTACGAGCTTAGATTAGAAGAGGACGGTGGTCCGAACAAGGATAGGGCTGTGAGCGATCTTATTCTCTGCCAACTACCCATGAAACGCCTGCATATAACCACCTGCTCATCAGTACACGCGACTCCCTCCTCCATATAAACCATATGTGCTTCGCGTCACCATGGATGCTGGCACTCCAGCGTCAAAGAACGGTGTATTCAAAACAAACTTCCCACTTGATGGTGGCGTGTTCGACAGAGATAGATTCCAGCAACGAAGGTGAGTACACGAGTCATTTCTCAGACCGACCTCCGCTTTCGACACGTTTTTGCAATAGATTACCTACCGACCTTTCAAAGCCTATCAAAGTAGACCTCCCGATCTCTCACGCCGGTGCATTCGTGTACTGGGTAGAGTATGACAACCCGATTTCGCCTGACGCCAAGCCAGAACGCGTCAAAGGTCGAGAAGGGTATTTCAATATCGATCCAATCCTTCGTGTCAAAAAACGTTCAGCGATTCTTGCTGAAAATAAGCCATCTGTTCCTGGGGGAGGTGCATTGACACTGGAGCTCACTAATCTACCGTTAGATGGTCTCGCTATCCTTACCCTTGTCTCGAAATGGATGGGACCTATCGATCAGTGGGACAAGCATCTTACGGAGGCATCGGAGCGTGGGTACAATATGATTCATTGGACTCCTTTGCAGCAGCGTGGCGAGAGCAAAAGTCCTTATTCCATTGCTGACCAGCTGGCCTTTGACTCCGAAATCTTCGAGAATGGATGGAAAGGCACTCGCGAGGAAGGGGCTAAGATTGTTGGGGAAAAGCTCAGGCAGGCGAAAGACGATTTTGGCTTGATGGGCTTGATAGACGTTGTCCTCAACCACACGGCCAACAACAGCCTGTGGCTACTTGACCATCCCGAGGCTGGTAGGTGTTTAAAGCTCGCGGTTTGTAGACCTTCGCGTGTGCCACCTCACATCCCACTAGGTTATAGTCCACATAACTCCCCACATCTTGCTCCAGCCTATGAAATAGACACGGCCATCGTCGATCTGTCTGCGTCCCTATCCACCCAGGACCTTCCTACTATTATCACGTCCTCTGCCGACGTCGAGAAACTCATTTCGGCTCTTCGTCAAAAATTTGCAGCATTGGATCTATGGCAGTATTATGTCCTAGATGTGCGGAAAGAAAAATCGTCCGTACAGAACGCGCTATCCTCCGAGAAGGTGCTACAGTGGTCGGGCGCAAATGTTGCTGGAAAGAACATTGTTGAATTGGCCCACGTTGCCCAGAGTTCCGGCAAGATTTTAGGCCTTGGTCAGTTCCGGGGGAGATTCGAAGTGAAGGCAGATCCAGAATACGCCGCAGCTCTAGTGAAGGCTGCGTTCACGGAATTGAGCGATCCGGGTGCTCTTGCCGATGCGTGGGGGGATATTGTGGATGTTATTAACGTCCCGCTTTATGAAGAAGCGAACGAAGATTTAAAGGCGGCAATTAATGGCGTTCGCAACCGTGTGAATTATATTCGACTGGATCCACATGGTCCAAGGTTAGGAGCGATTTCAGCCGAGTAAGCTTGAGATCAGCACATTTGAGAATGGTCACTGATGACGTGTCTCCGTTAGATCGCCTTTGGTTGAGACGTATTTTACTCGCCTTCCAGAAAATAAGAGAACATCCAAACATCCGAAGTCGGCGCTCGCCCTTGCTAACAATGGATGGATTTGGGACGCGAATCCCCTCCAGAACTTTGCTCAGCTCCCATCGAAAGCCTATCTTCGCCGCGAAGTCATTGTGTGGTCCGATTGCGTCAAGCTCCGCTATGGCGCATCACCGAAGGACAACCCTTGGTTGTGGGAATACATGACGAAATACGTACAGTCGCTCGCAGAACTGTTCGATGGGTTCCGCATCGACAACTGCCATTCTACTCCACTCCATGTTGGTGTCACGCTCCTCGATGCCGCCCGAGTGGTCAACCCGAATCTATATGTTATTGCAGAGCTGTTCACAGGAAACGAAGAAACCGATGTTCATTTCGTGAGCCGATTGGGTATCAACAGCTTGATTCGGGAAGCGTACAATGGCTGGGATCCCAAGGAATTTTCCCGACTTTTGTACCGTCATGGACTTGGGAAGCCTATAGGTAAGCCTGTATAAGCTCCTAGTGAACCACTAACAATTCCCCGGTTACAGGGTCGATGGATACAGCGACTCTAGTGAGTGCTGAAGAACTCCCATCGCCGACAGGCAAAGGGCCCTCTCGTCCAGCCACAGTTACTCCTCTACAAGGCTCGGCGCCTCATGCTGTTATGTTCGACCTCACTCACGATAACGAGTCACCCCTAGATAAACGCAGCGCTGAGGACGCGCTTTCCACTGGTGCTCTTGTGACATTTGCACATTGTGGCGTTGGATCGAATAAAGGCTTCGATGACTTATATCCCAAGCTGCTCAACCTTGTCGGCGAGAATAGGCGATACGGTGTTGAGACGGGGGAGCAAAAGACTGGGATTGCAAAAGCGAAGCGACTTCTGAACCATCTTCACACAGAAATGATTCTTGAGGGCTACACTGAAGGTCATGTTCACCAAGAGAATGATGTAAGTTCTATATCAGAGAATGTGGGATTCTAGGCTTTGCCCACTCATTGGTCTACAGTATATCGTCATCCACCGGGTTCAACCTAATACACACCACGGTTACGTTCTGGTAGCGCATACCGCCTTTCGTAAAGGAAGTAAAGATAGGGGCTGGAGTATGTTAAACTCCTCCTAGGTTTTAATTATGCAGCTGATGAACGAATTTAGTAAACCCTATTCAGCTTCGCCGGACTAAGGTCAAGTACATATTTGGTGTCAGCATCGACATTCCATCGTACGAGATCGCCCCAAATGCGTCTACCTTGAGAGGTCTCACGTCAACTCTCTCCGAAATCCCAGAGGTTTTGGCGAAGGAGGGTTCAGATGGCGACGGACCTTTCTCCGAAATCAGTATCCCAGATGCTTTCCCCCCTGGGTCCATATTGTTATTTGCAACACAAATGGAGGGAATTGATACATCCTTGGACGTCTTCTGCGCGAGTGGTGCAGACGAAGCGTTCAGGGATCTTGACTTAGTCGATTTGAATGTTGTGCTGTATCGAGCAGACGGGGAGGAACGCGATGCCACTGGTAAGCCGAGTTCGGAGTGTCTCAATCACCTCATATGAACGTGTATAACAGCAGGAAAGATTGGAACTTACAGCATCCCTGGTTCCGGGAATCTCGTATACTGCGGCTTGGAGGGCTGGATGGCACCACTGCGGCACATCACCACATACAACGACCTAGGTCATCCCCTCTGCGCCCATCTACGAGATGGAGCTTGGGCCTTTGACTATGTTCACCACAGACTAAAAGTGTAAGATCAACGGGTGAACATCTACAGGGTTGCTAATATTCCCACTGCAGTCAGACAGATAACTTCCCCCGTCTCGCCGCTCCTGCTGCATGGTTCGAGGAGCGATTCGAGAAGATAAAGGCTACGACGCCCTCTTTTCTGAAGCCTAAATACTTCGCAATAGCTGTGGTTGAAGCGTACAAAGCCGCACGTCGAGCTGTTGTAGAGCAAAGCTCCGATTTTATTTCGTCTGGCCATGATTTCACGCAGGCCCTTGCTCTTTGTTCCGTGCAGATGTATGGCCAGGTCTCGTCCGCTTCTTTACATCCAGCAAAGTCAACACCATCCCTCGCTGCTGGTCTGCCCCACTTCACGGCCGGTTGGGCGAGGTGTTGGGGCCGAGATGTTTTCATTTCGCTTCGCGGCTTGTTCCTTACTACCGGCAATTTCGACGCCGCCAGGAGGCACATACTTACATTTAGTTCCACCTTGAAGCATGGGCTGATTCCGAATCTCCTGGACAGCGTGCGGACTCCTCGGTAAATCATGAAGTTGATACGCCTCGATGTTATTTGCTGAGAGTTTCGTTGACGCTTCCTAGGTACAATTCCCGAGATTCTCCCTGGTTTATGCTTCAAAACATCCAAGATTATACTAAATTCGCACCTGAAGGTTTGACTATCCTATCTGAATCTGTGAAACGCCGTTTCCCAAAAGATGACACATTTGTCCCTTGGAATGACTCTCGGGCATACTCGGACTCTAGCACAATAGCAGAAATCATCCAAGAAGTCCTCCAGCGACATGCTTGGGGTATTTCATTCCGTGAACATAACGCCGGTCCCAACCTTGACATGCAAATGAAAGCCGAGGGTTTCAACGTTAACATCTATGTGGACTGGAAGACGGGATTCGTCCACGGAGGGAGCGCCTTTAATTGTGGTACATGGATGGACAAGATGGGCGAATCTGAACGTGCGGGGACTAAGGGTGTCCCGGGCACTCCACGGGATGGTGCTCCAGTAGAGATTACAGGACTGGTCAAGAGCGCGCTGCGTTGGTTGGACGAATTGTCGAGATCTGGGAAGTTCCCCTTCAAGGGAGTCGACGCTAAGAGTATGTCTAGAATCCATTCTGGCCCTGCGTTTACTGACTGCGCCCCAAGTTGAGGGTAGGACAAGACTTATTACATATGGTGAATGGGGCAACCTCATTCAAGCATCGTTTGAAAAATACTATTACGTCCCTCTCGGTACGTGCTCACACCTTGAGGCTAAAACACTACAGTCATCGTTGGTAACAGATCCTGCTGATGACACCTCTCATGCCATTAACCCGGCGTTGGTGAATCAGCGAGGGATTTACAAAGACGTTTATGGTTCGGGTCCTGGGAGAGAATGGTCCGATTACCAGTTACGCTGCAACTTCCCCATCGCTATGGTTGTTGCACCGGAGTTATTCAATAATCAGCATGCAATTAGTTCCCTTCGCATTGCAGACCAAAGGCTTAGAAGTCCACTCGGAATGAAAACTTTGGATGCAGCGGATGCCCAATATCGTGGAAGCTATGACAATTCGAATGATTCTGATGATCCTGCCATCGCCAAGGGACGCAACTATCACCAAGGTCCTGAATGGGGATGGCCGCTAGGTTTCTTCCTTCGTGCCTATCTCAGCTTTGACCTCAAGGCTGGTGAGGGCCAAACGGTTTGTTATGTGCTTAACTGGTAGTTTAGGTAATGTCTCACACCAACCTGACAGAACCCTCAAGAAACTCTTCACTATCTCCACACCCTCCTCCTTCCCAGCCGCAAATATATCCGCACAGATCCATGGGCCGGCCTCCCAGAGCTCACGAATGCTGACGGAGCCTATTGTCATGATTCATGTCGCACGCAAGCGTGGAGTGCCAGTACACTGCTCGACTTCTTACACGAAGTATACACTCTGAATCAGTCCAAGTAGGGTTCATTGGCTGTGGGCACCAAAAGTACAGCTTTATTCTGAGAATGTACATACACATTGTTGGAAAATAAACATTGCATCCTGATAAAGCGATTGTGGTTTGTGTCAGTATGCATGCAACATGTTCAGAGATAGTATAGGATTCAAAAGAAGATTCAGAAGTGGATGTCAACTCCTGCCAAGGCAGACGAGAGGACATTAAGGTAGCAGGAATTTTCAACACTGTCCGATTGGACTAAAGCCAAATGCCTGAATCATCATGTGCAGAGGGAAATACTAAACGTGGATATGCGTACGTAGGATACTCACCGGTCGACACTACGAATGTTGTCCTTGGCATTTGGGAGGTGGAAGGAACTGAAGAAAAATTTATACCCGTGGCGGAAGAACCCGAGGAGCCCCGGCACAAACATGCGCCGACAAAGGGTAGCGTCCCGAGCCACAGGATCTTGCAGCTGGTCTGGACGGAAGGTCGGCACATCCCCGTAGAGCTCACGGACTGTCAATGCTCCTCGACGCACGCCGGACCTGCAATGAGAGTGACAGACTCTACGGGAACCTGACCAAGTTGAATTATTGGGGGCTTCGGTGTGGATGCTCATCAGGAGAGCACAACTTTTCCCCACCCCAAGAATGAGGCTGATCTTACCCTTGCCCTGGAGTTTCTAACAATACTCGGCATCGATTACTTTTGAGAGAGACTTGCCACGGTGGCTGCTGCTGGAGGTTCAAAGATGCCTATCTGGTTGGGGTTTAACAGTCGAAACCCATCAGCTTCTGGCCCCCAAGAATGAGGGGGTTCTATTTTTGCGACGAGGGAGACAAAGAATATGGTCTATGAGTGTCGGTCCAGCCCTTGAGGTCTGATGATGTGCTCACCGACAAATCTGAGCAAAAAGTTTATTCCCGAGCGTCGGAAGGGCTGCGCTTGGGCCATTGACAGTGATACAGAGCTTGTGATGTTGGTTTGAGACGTTACGCAAAGAGATGACTTTAGTTCAGGCTTTGGTGAACCTATCATCAAACACTAACACTTGCCTGCTGGGGTCCAAGGTTGCTTGGATCCTACGGATCTAGGGACCCAACCAGAAAACTAGGTTTTCCGCCTCGTGTGAGGTCCTAATTTCTGCTGATACTCTCCCAGTTTAATTTTCCTAGTTGTTTCCGATGCAGTGCTATACTGGGAAGAGGCATTAAAACGTATGTTTACCTTGGTCTAGATCGGGACCAACCAAGCCGAGGTGGCATAAGATATTCAGGCACTATATCTGTTATCCCGGCTCCCCTCAGTGTTCGTTGCCTTGGTGCGACCAAATTCGTGTGATAAAAAACCTAACAGTAACAGTAACAGTAACATTCTCCCTCCTCCCTGTACTTTTGAAAACTGTGCGTATCCCCAAGGAGATGCTGCTTTCTCTTTTCCGTATTCTTAGCCTGGGTGAATTGACTTTCTTTTGTCTGGAGTTTCCCATACGCATGCTGCATTGTGAACCTCAGATTCCCCCATTTTGCAAAGGTGAGGTGACTGATTTTGGTATACGACGCGTAGACGAAGTAAACGCTTCGTGAGATGCTTGCGGGATGTGATCGCTGTCGAGCAGCAAAGTGGGACTTCTTTGATCAGGCAACAAAAAGCCTGAGCAACAAAAGTTCATTGGGCATACTCATTGAAGCTGTTAACGGTGGCGGAGGTGCCAGAAACGCCGTGGAAAGGGTTGTTCAGCGTAACCGTAGGAACCACCGAACCCCCTATACAATAGGCATAAACCCGAGTCGGGGCTAGCTGTCAAGATTACTTGCGTTGAAATATCTGTTCGGAAAGTTTTATAGATCGTGCAGGAACTCTTCCAAGGAATACAAGAGAATGCGTCAACTCGTTTCTGGATTGCTTGGAGGTCTCCATGATAATCGCGTTGGGCTTGTTTAACGTCCAAGGCCTTTCTGGCAGGTACGAACTAAAAGGTAAGTTTTCCTATTCACATGAGTCTGCCTGGGTCCCGCTTCACGAACATCATCATGCTCGAGGGGTTTCTGTCATGATCATCAACGTGAAAACAGTGCTTGATTGGCAAGGCAATCAACCTAATCCCTTCCACGGGAAAAGTAAATAACGAGCAACGGGGATAGCATCCTCAACAAACTCGGCAGGATACGTGTTGCACGTGCGGATGATATATACTCTACATATGGAGCAAAGAAAGGAGGCAACGAACAATCAACTGTGCAATGATTGATGATCAAATCCCAAACTCCCGTCAAGACCAAATGGTGGACCTACCATGCCGGAGATGTAAGGGGTATGCGAACAGTGGTCGCAAGACCACCAAGACTAGTTTCTTTATATTTCTCGCTCATGTCTAATGAAGGATAGTGGTTGGACGATCATGTTTCATACGAGAGTTCATGGTTTACCTTGGGCTGTCATTCTCATGGCAGCAATGGCCTCGTCTAAGGTAACAGAGTGCACTCCATCACTGGCCATCGCCAGTTGCGAGGCTTGGGTCGAATGTAGGGTTCTAAGCTAATCTAAGCCCGCGGAATTAAGTCATCTTACCTGTCACGGCTTTTATGGCTGTCAGAAAGGAAAAAAAATTAAGACTGGCTACTCTACCAGGGCGAGGAAGTGGGATAACTCACCCCCCAAGGAATTGCGTTCGATGCAAGGGACTTGGACAAGACCGTCTGACGACATCTCAATGACTTCTGTCTTTGTCAGGGCGAAAGCTAGCCGCACAGACCTATGGGATCACAGGTGAGACCCAAATTCTGAGGTATCCGACGTCAAAACTTCTCCGCTGGACACACAATTTGAGCATACATGTTCGATTCCGATCTCTGCACTTTGCAGAATTATTTCAGGAGATGCTAAGATAATAGGTGGTTTGGCGCTACGAATCTGGGCATCCAATTGTCCTTACCACCCATGCAAGCGGAGAAACCTTGGACAATAAAGTTGCATATCACTTGATATACGCAGCAAAAAGGCTACGAACCTGCCGCTGTGAGTGGAGATTAGCCAACGATTTTAGATTATCCAGGTCTAAGAAGCACGAACCAGCCATAGAACATGCAACGCCCACCTCCGCTTGGCACCCTACATCAAATCTCAACAGTTGCACCGGAATTCGCCATCAGCCAGCCTACCTCCTAACAAACGAAGGTGAGCAGTCGGGAAGTAGGGTAACAGGAGTTGAACTTGCCTTCGGCAGCAGAAATTGTGGAACCTCGTTTGAAAAGCATACTGTGACATCTATCAGCGTGTGCCGTGGAAACGCCAACGCCTCGTCTCACCCAATCGCCGCCGCAGTGAGCCTATGAACCCAACGGTCAGTAATCTGAGATGCGGAAAAAAAAACGAGGTGCCCACAAGAAAGTAGAGATATCCCTCTGAGGGTCATCGGAAAGGAACTGCATAGCGAGGTAACACGCAATCCAAGAGGGCGGAACCTCATCCTCACCTCAACAATATATTTCAAAACAGCAGGTATGACACCCGCTGCACCATTAGTTGGGGATGTGACGATGCGGCCTCCGCTGGCGTTTACCTCATTGACCGCGATGGCGTAGCATGAAAGGAAATCAACACCTGGAAAGAGTGCCTTTCGCTATAGAATGCGTCAACCGACATGAACGAAGCCCATCAGTCTCAAACGTGACGGTGTCAGGACCAAGTTGCATACGGGTGGCATAGGGGGTAACGGATGATCAAATCTACCCATAACCCTCGGTGGGCGAGTACGCGCCATAGTCGGGACTGCCATCTCGCCATACGGCGAAACTTTGGGCGGGTCCGATAAATTCTCTGCGCGAGCTGAATTGGAGTTAATGGTTGCATGGGCGTCAACGATTAATGGCATGTTTTCTACGGGTGATGAGATAGATGGGTTAGATGTGGGGGTATACAGTGCAGGATAAAAGCTTGGGAAGAAATAGAAGCAAGTCATCATCAATCGTCGAGATGATGGCATGTTACGATCCTTACCCTTTCATCAATCGCCTGTGACGACCGGCAAAATCAGCTCGTGTCATTATGGACATAGTGTTGGAATACACGCCTATACAGCATGGGGGCCCGTCGCTTCAATCTAAGGCGTCCGGGCAATTCGAGTTCGGGGCTAGACACTCCAGAGCGAATACAATTATCCATGACCCCCCATATCTTCATCAATTTACCGTGTATCTCATCATGCGTGTAATAAGCGAGCTCATTCTCATAGACAAGTTGAGCAATTGTCAGCTGTGCAGATACATCAGTGGTTAGAAACCAATAACCCGGCGAGTGAGTGAAACGCACGTTATGCTTTCTGGCCATGGAGAGTAGGCTTGCGCCGGAGTGGAATAGATAAGAAGGTTGAGCAGTTTTCGCCCTCGTTTCGGATTCGGAGAGGCTGCTTTTCCCATCTTTGACGGCATCCTCAGAACCTGGCGCTCCAAGGAGGGGAGTGGAGCCTAATCCATGGTTCTGTGACAAACGAGAAAGGGAAACTTGAGATTTGTCTACCCCCTTGTAGAACAAATTCTCATCCACTAGAGGATCTCAGCTGAATAAGGCAAACCCTGCGGTGTGATGCGTTTCACCTTTCGTCTTCTCGTTCACCACTGTAAAAAAACCACAGAGTTAGCTCGATGGATATACGGAACTTGCATGGTAACGTACCGAACCCTCCTCCGACCGAGAAGTATTCATTGGTTGCGAGCAAATCCCCATCCACATTGAAAACGGAGAAACGCATTCCATTAGGATGGGTCGGAAGCACCTGATCCCATCGCCAGACCATGTCTCGATCCATGTCATACTCGATCCGGTGAACGCCACCCAAGATCAAGATTTTATCGTTAAGAATGGTATCGTAACGGGAGCCGACAGTTCCTGTATCAATCGTTTCTGGATCTGAACCTGTTGCAATGAAAGTTGATCCGCATACACATGGCCACACAAATCCCCATTATGTAAGTACCTTCAAATCCCATCATCAGGGCCTGCGGAGTCATATGCCCTTTGCCGGTGGCCGCAAGGGAACCGTATCTGGATGAGAGGGGTGTAAACATTGCACAATGGTCAGGTATGGAGAGGGCTCTCACAATGTGATCTTGAGAGTATGTACGGAGGATAGCAGTCCAAGTTCTTGAAGCTCCTGTATAAAAATTTTGGCGGCCCGAAGAGGCCCCACCGTGTGCGAACTACAGATTTATGTCATCTGACATCAGTGGAGGCGTTAGACGAGTTGACCCGTACCTTGACGGTCCTAGGCCAATGGAGAATAGATCGAAGGTAGAAATGACCTTTGGGGACGTTATTGGGTAACTTTAGATGTAGTAATTCTACCATACATACTGCATGTTCAATCCGGCTGGGGTTTGGGTCGGCAAACTCTTCCAGTGATTCATCTTCCATCTTATTGGACTCGATGGCCAGCTGGCTATACACGCGTCTTTGAAAAAATCTCTTGCTGAGAGGTGCGATATCGGACCCATTGCACCGAGCAATATGAAGGGTTGCAGCGGTGTATGCGTGTAGTTGGGAGGGGTGCTGTGTGTGGCGGGCTGCAGTTTTAGGGAGTTTGACGCGTGCTGCGGCACGAAGCATGCCTATAAAGCCTTCTCTCCGGCTTTAGGGAGTGGCACACGCCTGCTGAGCTTGTGTTGCGGAAGCAGGGTCAAATTCTACTTTTGGCCCGATGTGCAGGAAATTGCCGAGTCACCACTGAGTTCCGCGACTTGTCCGCGACTGATTTCTGCAACGGAGAGGGGGAAGGACTTGGTATCGGTAAGAGGGCGTTACGAATGGATTATGAGTGTCCTTCTGATGGTTTTTTTTTTGTCGTCACCGATTCACTGGGCACTAGTGAAATGTTCCCTCTCCATGCATTTTCCCGCGCTTGGCGCTCACCTGCACGGACCGTTCCTCGTACACTCTCTACGTCTTCCGTCAAATTATCAGAGCCTACTACCTCCTCCTCAGAAGGAGCATATTCAATGGCTCCCTTACTGAACCTAATGAACAACATGCCCTCGATGTCCCAAACACCATCCTCACCATCCTCAAGTCCATCTTCTCGAAAGTACCATATTCCAAAGGGCATACATATGGCACCAGTAGCTGATCCACTGTTAACATACTTTTCTTCCCTCATCATGCGCTCGGGGAAACGACATAAAGCGATCCGTCAAGTGTCCGAAACCCTCACCACGATTCATCGACTGACCGACGCCTCCCCGTTACCCATTCTCCGTCAAGCCGTGGAGCTAGCCTCACCAGATGTTAAATTAGTGACGCTGAAGCGGCGAAACAAGAACGTTCCACAGCCAAGATCTTTGACGAGCAAGCAACGGACCGGGCAAGGACTCAGATGGATCATCAAAGCAAGTCATATGAGAGGTGATTTCCAGCTGGAGCATCGTCTAGCAAAGGAGATTATCGCTATTGTTCAGGGCAATAGCAACTGTCTGAAGTGGAAGGAGGAACAACACAAGCTGGCTACAGCTAACAGGCACGTTTTCTTTGCGTTTCACGTTCGCAGTTTAACCTTTTATCTCCATTTTTCCAGGGCAAATGCGTCCGTTCGTATCTAGTGTACCTATGTTTTGCTGTAAATCACTCCACTTCCAAGACCCTGATCGCCCAATAGTTTCTGAACTCCCAAGTATCCGCCAAGAAACAGGACCTTTCAACTTGCTTAAAGAACAAACTTTCATTGGCACCTCAGGGAGTTCTACATCATTGAAAAATCTGCACAACAGATATGAAATCTCTTAAATCATTCCAGTCATTTACACAATTTCGTGGTGCCTGGGCTCGAGTTCACCCTCAGGGCTCCCTTTGTCGGAGCTCGAATTCTCTTCGACTACTTTCTCACGGGCGGCTCGACGCTCGTACCACGCCTTGGATTTGAGGCCAAGGATCGTCGTGCGACCTTCGGACCATTTCATGTCTAGTGGTTATTTTTCAAACAATCAAATCCTGAGGGATCGAGGACAGCGCATTAATGGACTTACACGTAAGGATGGCGATGACCGCAATCCAGTAGAAGCAGTAACACAGAATGGTACCAAGGGTGGCGTTGTTCGTCCAACCAAGGCTGCTCCCAAGGTCAAAACTTGATGTCGAAAAAAGTAGTTATTTCGTTCCACTCACACAGCACGGAAAATGGACCATCCTCCCCCTTTATTCTTGCCACCCTCGGGATTACCGTATGTCTGAGATGGGTGATCAGCCAGCGACCAGTTGATTGTATTATGACAATCTTCTTACCAGGTGCCATACCATTCCATGAACATCATAGCTTCCTGGTCCATCGCCAGTCTCGCTGACGTCTCTACCAACGCCCCTATTGAAGACATATGTTTGAAAATCTCCACACGCACTGCTAAATAGACCAGCTCCGACAAGCAGAAGAATTGACGTCGACACAATAAGAAAGTAATGAAGTGTGAGATGAGAAGTGGAGGAATATATGATATATGCTAAGAACGGCTTTTGTGAGTGATACAACTTTTTTTCCGAAGGGACGGGACTCAACAGATGAAAATGCCGCTTAAGACACCAACGATCACTGCGAGGGGAATGGAAGTGCCAGGTCCACTCAGCGATACCTGTGAGTGGAATATTGTGATGAATGCTCTGCCATTCAGGAACAATGATTGAACCCACTCCAGCGGCGAAGATGACGCCCTCCAAACCTTCTCTGAGGACAGTGATGAAGGGCAAGAAAAACAGAGCATACTTGCCCGCCTTCGAGCGCCTCTCCTCGCTCGCACCTGTTGACTTTTCGAATGCATGCGCAAGCTTAATCCTCCATTTTATTTTGGATTGTTCGAGACGCAGGAACGTGATACCCATAGCAAGAATGAGTAGAGATGCGATGAGGGAGAACGACCCTTCCCACAGGTATTCGGATTTGGCCCAGAGATTGTGCACTTTGTTGGAATAGAACTTTTGAGGTGATTTTAGAAGATGGCTCAATGTCAAGCCGCGGCTAAAGGACTCACGACTCCGATGAAAGCACCACCAATAGCGAGGGAAATAACGAAACCAGCTGAAGCACCAGCCCAGATCTGTGGAGAAGATGCAATAGTTGACATGGATCGCGTCTTGAGTGACAGGTATATCACCCAAATTTCTCACCTGAATACGGAGCTTTCGCAGGAGTTGATCGTTGGTCAGTGCACTGCGGTCTTCTGCACGCTGGTCAGAGCGACTCAGTGCTTCTATGCCATTAATGGCATCTCGGTCCGTCTTCTCGTCCGTTGGACCATTGGTTACCTGATTGTCGTCAGAACCCGAATTCGCGCTATGGCCCCTCAGACCATTCACACCCCCCCGTGTAAGTTGGGAAGCCTGGTAAAAAAAAAAACACTCGCGTTGAATGCGGTGGCAAGACTGGTTATTCTTGATAATGACTTACGAAAGTCAGCAAGATAGAAACGATGATTCCCTACAGACGGGCAAGGCAAGGGTACCACCGTGGTCGAAAGTTGCGTGAGAAACGTCAAGGGAAAGAGCTGAGGAACTGGTAGTCACGCACTGCTTCGATGGTCTCTCTGAGGATGATGAAGAACACAGGGACGGAAAACACGTTCTGGACCATTTTTTCCCTCCTGCGTTCTGGTCGTTCAGAAATAAGTCAAGGGGGGGGGGGAAGTTGAGAAAGGGAGGGTGCGAACTTGGGGGGTGCGAACAACAAATTTATCAGATATTAATTATTGCTAATCTGATAAGATGCATCCGGAAAATTGTTTTCAGATGAACTGGCTTACATCATCAATGTCGATCATTGTGGTTTCTGGAGATGGAGGCTGCTCGCAAGTGATAACATGGTTGGGTCCCAAAAGCAGTATTCTCTATGTACAGTAAGGCAAACCGAGTTGTTATTGACATAAGCCTAAGAATAGGCATTCCCTCTCCGTGTCACAAAATTGTTGAGGTCATCTCTTGTTGCGACCGCCAGGACGAATTTCCGAGCGTAATCGGTGACTACATCAGGATACAAGTCAGTGACAACGCATGATCCATTATATTAGGGACTGGGTTGCACCAAGCGCAAACAAGTTTTTCTCCAGAAACTCTTCCAGGACTTCTAACGGAGTGTCGGGCGTTATCAGTGTGTAACCAAGCCTCGAATTCCTCTTAAATTTGGTCATGTGGGAGAGGACTGAATCATCCTGATAACGAGCACCTCGGTGATTGGAAGGGATAAAAGTTGTTTTACACGTACCGGGTTTGCGACGCCGCTTTCGAATTTGGACTTGAGTTGGGCAACGTCAATATATCCTAGAGGTCTTCGTTCCTTAGACAGCACTCTGAAGAAGGAATCGTGTCAGAATGTTGTATTAAGACATGGCCGCGAGTGTCTTGATACAGGATACGAAGAGAACCAATGCTCACGGGATATGCGAGAAATCTCGTTCATACGCGAGATCAATAGCTTTAGATATGCGCTCGGAATGCGGGAGAGAGAAGGCGGGGGGTAGCTGTAAATCCTCCACAACGGCGCCACGGTATTTGCTAGCTCGATCGGACGGCACGGTGATGTGGTTCGCTGAGGACAACGGCGATGAGGATTGGGCCAAGCTACTGGCGGACTGGTAGTGAGAGGAAGTGGCTGGAAGAAGAGCAGGAGCAGCCGCCATGTTTGTGTCGGCAAAATGACTTGGCAGTGCTACACGTGATGCGGAATACCAACGTCCCGAAGGCTTCAGAACAACCACAACCCTTTCCGGGTCGATTTCCCCGTGTCACCGTTCAGCTCTATCGATATCGTTTTGCCAAACCGGAGACGTCTGGGACTGATCCGATTGACTTGGAAGCGCAAGGGAGCGGTGAGCGGCTAGGGAGGGGTCTGCTAAGTATTCGACCACATTTTCAGCACTAACACCGCTGTGATAACAATCATTATACTGGTCCTGAGGGTTGGCACCTGACGGGGCGTCTCACAACTGACAGCGGGACAGGATACCCGCTACCAAAAGTGACCTGGCTGTCAGGATGGACGTCCTAAGCGATCATCTGTTCTGGACCGTTCTGCCCGCTTGATGTAGAAAATACTTTCGCAGTTGACGATTGCCCGGGAAATCTCGATCTTGTCCGACAGAGATTTAGTGTGTTTGTATATGGACGTTGTGTGTTATTTATGCACCCTTCGCTTCTGCAGTTAGACACAACACCCGTCACCGAACTGGGCATTTTAGCCCTTAGGCTAATTCCAATCCACCTGGATCACCCGCTTGAGCTTGCAATTAATTAGGATACCTGTAAACTCCCTGGGGGCATAATGATTGGAAACAATTGCTCAATTAACGGCCAGTGTGCATCCCAGTACGTTCTAAATCTCGGCTGTGCTTCGTTGGATTTGTTTCATTACTCCGCGTGGGTGATTCCGGTATATATTTTACCAAGTTTGGACCGCTCGAAGATTCCATTGGTAGTGACTGATCATGCAACCCGATATGGCTGCCCCTATATCGATGATCATCTAGAGCTTTTAATTCGACCGCTTGCGATCCCAGCATTTCAAGCCACAGCTAGCCTCTTCTCTTCTCGACTCTACTCTCGAGTTCAGTGTGCTCCCCACAGATATCCACCCCGAAAGCTGGTATACAAAAGTCTATTTCTCCAGGTCGCAAAACGATGCCTCCGTTCACTACGAGCCTAGAAGAGGGCATTGTCAGTCTACAATATTTGCCTCGCAAATTGTTAGAGCGATCCCAACACTGATACACTTTTACATGACATCATTCACGATGCCTACGATTTGTAGTACCGAATTTGTAGTGCACTAGACTCAAACCTTTGGCTGACAATGGACCCACCCAACCCAACAACTGGAAAGTCAGCTGTTAAAGTTAGACCAGACAATCCACTGTCCGCTAGAAACCAACAAGTACGGGTTTGAATAAAAATACATGAAGCATGCTAACATTACTGCTCTTCGATGATGATTAGTGGAAAATTGTCCCCTATCCTCAGTCGAATAGTTATTCCTTTTTCAATCTTGGACAAAGTCTTTACCTCGCTGCAGATGTGTGGTCCTGGGTTTGTCGGGGTTCGTGTCCTTGATCCTCTCTCACCTTATGAACCAGTGCGTAAGCCCACACCTTCTGAATGATTTGAGCAGGTCGACCTAAGCCACTTCCATTTCGTCTGCGTCCTGGAGGTGACGAGGAACATTTTAAGTTTCGTTTTTCTATCTTTGAACGCAATGTTTGCATTTGATCTTATGGTTTGATCGGAAGTATCCTGTACTTCCCGACAGAGTATTTTGTAGGATGCGATGGCTCCAATGTAAGGTCACACATCCTCTCCCATCCCATATCCCCGTGGCCTATTTTTCCTTTTTCGCATCCACTAATGTATATCGCTCGATAGGCAACTTATTCCTCCAGCGGCAGTGCAGCAGGATCGGTGAGTTCTATCTCTCAGCTCCTGCTGGAGGATCTGACGAGTTAATATTCCCAATTTTCGACCCCCCGTTGTCTGTGCTGGTCCCGATGAATTGTAGAGATGGAAATTCAAGAGAATTCTGAGATCTCTGAGGGTTCCTATGGCACCACCTTTGGTGGAGTGAGTACCAAGTTATTATAATTTGGTATCGGTCCTAGCCCTGACGGTTCCTCAGGGCCCCACCTGTCCCGGAAGGAATTGTGAATATCTTCGATTACCATGAAATTCTTGTGATCTAACTCTCCAACTCTACAACCGTCGACTTTTCTAACGCACGCCGACCTCTTTTCACCGAATCTATGCACAGTATCGAATCGTGAATGCCCATTCGAGGACGTGCCTTACCATGCTCGATACGCCTCAAAGTGGGCAGAAATACCCCTATGCCGTAGGGTGGACGTACGAGTCCGACTTGACTGCCCAACGAGTACGTCTATGCTATTGTGCACGCATTCTCCTTTCCGTACTTTTGAATTCCTCATTCACTTTCCTTTCACCTATCCTTCGTCGTGAATCTGAACTACTCACTCACCTATGCCTAACTTTACGATTGGAATCAATTCTAGTGGAAAGTAATACCCCACGATTTAACCCAAACTTACTTCCTCAAAAACGTTGGTACTGAACGCTGGTTGAGCATTCAAGAAGACGGGGGGTTTGGATCCTCTGTCACGGGTGTGGACGGGGAGGTAGGTGCTGTGCACTGGGATTTAAGACAGGGGGAATCGGAAGGGGAGTTTTAGTGTGTACTTTGTTTCTTTCTCGTCTTTATTTTCTGAGTAATCTCACGTTGATTTCCTTCTCAGTATTCAACACGGTGGGGGGCTTTTGGGCGTCGCGCAGTTGGATGGCGGAAGTGGAAATGATAACACTATGGTTTGCAGCTTCCTCTCCCTTCTTTTCCAATCCCGCCTCTTATAGATTCTTTCACAATAGGTCCAGCTTGATAGACGAATGAACATTGGAAATGCCTCCGTTTCATATGATACAGTGAGCGCGTTTAACGCTGCACTCGTTGTGTTCGAACCTAATGACATGTCGACAGTGGACATTTGAGCCGGCAGAGGAAGATGTGGATCCCACCGTTTTGCAAGATCTTCCTTAGTAAATCCTTCATGTTTTCGGCAAGTAATGGTGGCTGACCTGATCCTGTGCTTGGACCTCAATTGGGATCCAATCGTTCAGTGGTGGATCTCTGAAAACAGGAACGGTATGATAGGACTACAACTTGCTATTGCAGTCCCCACTTACGAGGCAACAGTACAAGATCCGAAACGTCGAAACGAGGGCCCTTTTGACTCAAGATGAAACGTTCCCTCCATCCCCTTCCAAGCCTCATTGTTCAAGCCCTTTGTTGAATTGTTCAAAGGAGCTTTCGGGTGAGAGGAGTAAGTTCCAGCAGGTAAGTCTGGAGTGGGTCTCCGTGACGGCCATTCTTCGGAGCGCATGCCGTACATGTGTGCTAACAGTTGTTGCTGGCACTCCCCACATGCGCTACAATAACCTTGGACCCGGCAACCGATAATATAATCGCATTACATAGTGGAGAGTGTTTTTTATCAAGGGGGCACAGCAGTATATCTTTCAGAGTGTATATTCTGGACGGTTCATCTCAAGGTTGCCCCACTTCAGCACGGATTTTATCGGTGTGCATGATTCCTTTCCCCCTTCTGTCCATACTTAGTTCACTGAGTGAAATATCTGCACCGTGTTTCAAATTATAGCTTCCAATCAGGTTTGCCCTTGGATTGTATTACATGGTGAAGAAACGGGCGAGTTCATGTGAGTATTAGTCACCTTCACACATGGTGTGCCTCCGTGGTGCATTATTCTGCTCTGCCATGAACCGAGATTGGTAATGCTGCGTATTGTTCCTTTCAGATTGTACGCCTCAGGTTCAGATCAGGTGGTATCAACGTCTGATGAACCACAGGCTGGGAGTGTGAGTGCCCCATACTCGACGCGTCGGATCGCGAGGACGTTGATAATTCATCTGGATGAATTCGTTCTGCGTAGCTGTGCGTGACGACCAGGCTTTACAGTGGTCCGGGTAGGCAACGCGTACGTTTCAATGGAGCTTATTATCCCATCCCCGCCGTTGTGCTCACTTATCTTCGCTCCAGTGGATCTTTGAACCTGTGGATCCGAAGGGGTCAGATCTGCAAGATCCGAACACTCCAAATTACCCTTCACTATTTTCACTCCTGAACCTTCGATAGCGGTAACGACCGCTCGTCTGGTTGCGACTAAAAGAGAATGGTCGACCTTTCATGTATATTGTGCGTCCCCAACCTGTCCTCCGAATTTTGGTTAGCATCAGACTGACCTCATCTCAAGAGTCTGAATGAACCTGGTTTGGTTTGCATGAGGAACACAACTGCATCATGACTTTTTTTAAAGTGGATTTCCGCCGAAGGGAGGGGGTTGTGGCATTATGGCGTTTTTTCCCTAAACATTGTACAAAGCGGTCAACAACGTTGCCATCTGCGCTACGACGATTGTAAATCTCTTCCGATTTGATAATATCTGACCGGCACTCTGCCGATCGCCTGAGGATACAGATAACAACACACTGGCCCTGTCTAATAACCCAGTCTGCGGTGGGGATAATACATGCCTTTGCGAGTCGCTAGTGCAGGATCCCTTTATCATCATGAAATACTCAATACATGTATGTGTCATTGCTACCTTATAAGAACCGCCTTCTGCGACGGGTGACAGCTTCTACGGTATTGTCATCGAAAGACGACTGATATGATGCATGGCCAGTTGGTCATGTGAGTGATCCACATCAATCGACATTCGAGGTGTATGAAAGTATGATCACCCGGAATCCTTTGAAGGTATTCCCTGACTAATTTCTTTCTGGGCTCAATCCAAGCTGTGTTACATCGGGAAGGTGTTCCTATGTCCTGCCTCCCCCGGAAAAGGTCTCGGCACGTCCTGGGTGTCAGCTGTTCTGCATTCGCGAAGGCTTGTCGACTTGAAGGATCGGTATCCTTCAGCCTAACCATCCCTTCCAAGGACAGCCATTTGAGGGCTGCCTCATCCCACACCAATTCCGTTGACCTCTCGGCCGTTCTGAAGGAGTGTCATGAGTTCGCAGATGTGTTCAGTAAGAGCAAAGCCTCGACGCTGGCACCGCACCGTGAGCACAACCTGAAGATCGACCTTGAGGAAGGCACTTCACCACCCTTGGGTACCATGTACTCTCTCTCTACTTCGGAACTCGAGGCCCTCTGGGCATTCTTAGATGAACACCTTGCCTCCAGGTTCATTCGTCCCGCTACTTCTGCTCATGCGGCACCGGTCCTCTTCATCCACAAGAAGGACAGATCCCTCCATCTTTGCATTGACTTCCGAGGGCTGAACAAGATCACCAAAAAGGATCGCTACCCACTCCCCCACATCTCCGACCTCCTTGATGCACCTAGCCGTGCCACAGTCTACACCAGACTCGACCTCCGGCATGCTTACCACCTGGTTCGCATTGCAGCAGGCGATGAATGGAAGACTTCCTTCCGCATGCACTATGGTTCCTATGAGTGGCTTGTCATGCCAATCGGTCTCATGAATGCACCCATGGCCTTCCAGCGATTTGTCAATGTTGGAGATCAACCTCAAAACATGTATTTACATATATTTGTGCCGACAATTCTATTTAGTGGTCTACTCTCATCTGGTCCGACCCCGGCCCTATTCCGGCCTCATCCTATGGTTTTCTATAGGTTATGAGCCCAGCCGGCCTAACGGCTTGCTGAAGTATCATCAAGAAAATCCACTTGACCCTCGTGGTGGACAGGCTAAGAGGTCCATCGGCCTTCCTCGGGTTTCTAGTACACACTATACCCACCCCCTCCTAAGTCCATGTAGGCAATAAGTCCGTGCAGGCAATAAGTCCATGTTGGCAATCACTTGCAGAATCCGTCTAGGCAATAAGTCCGTGTAGGCAATAAGTCCATGTAGGCAACCACCCACTAAGTCCACGCATTCACTCATTAAGTCTGTATGTGGCAAACCCCCTCCCTTTCGAAGTCCTGGAAGGCAGTAATAGGCACCACCCCCCTTTCTCCTCGCTGTAAGCCCTTAGACAGGCATGCAACTCCTAATTTCCCCATTCCCTCCTTGCCACGTCACCATTTTTCCATTTTCCCACGGTCCAATCGCGCGCGCGCTCAAAGGCAGCAACCCAATCCCACCTTGCACCTGGCACCAGCAGACCATTGGGGCCACTCCCTTACTGCCTTACTATGGAACACTGTGGATTCAGAGGGTGGTCCCCCCCTTTCAAATATCGTGTTAATTCTCATGCACACTTTGGACAAGTTGGACACCCGGGATTGCTGAGAAGGCTCACTCCACCGACTGCCTGGCATGGCATCGACTCAGATTTGGAAGACAACCAACCACCATTGATTATTGGACTAGCACCCTTGATCACGCATCCATTGGATGATTTCACCCTTCCACATTCCCTTCACCACTCCATTCCCATTCAATTTCATTCCATTATTTTTCAGTCAATTTCTTCACACCGGTTTCATTATATCATGGATTCATGTTAAATGATTACATGTTCTTTCGTTTGAGAGGGTGTGTTGGAGATCAACCTCAAAACATGTATTTACATATATTTGTGCCGACAATTCTATTTAGTGGTCTACTCTCATCTGGTCCGACCCCGGCCCTATTCCGGCCTCATCCTATGGTTTTCTATAGTCAACACAATCTTTGCCGACCTCTTGGATGTTTCTGTGGTAGTCTACCTAGACAACATCCTTACCTACTCGGAAGACATGGCTTCACATCAGGAGCATGTCCGAGAAGTTCTTAGGAGACTCTGCAAACATGGCCTATATGCCAACCCAAAGAAATGCAAATTTCATATGGACACTACGGAATATCTCGGATACTGCCTTTCTCCCTCCGGACTCACCATGTCCATCGAGAAGGTTAAAGCCGTTCAAGATTGGCCCGAGCCCCATAAAGTCAAGGATGTCCAGTCCTTCCTTGGCTTCACTAACTTCTATCGGCATTTCATCCACCAATACTCTGACATTGTGGTCCCCCTGATGCGCCTTACATGTAAAGGAGCCCCCTGGTTATTCTCTGACGACTGTCGCTCTGCTTTCAACACCTTGAAAGAAGCCTTCACTTCTGCTCCTATCCTGACACATTGGCTACCCAACGCCCCCCTCATTGTAGAAACCAATGCCTCCGATTACGCAATCTCCGGAATCCTGTCCATCTGTTGTGATGATGGAGAGATTTGCCCTGTTGCTTTCCGCTCTAGAACACTCTCGGCGCCGGATCTCAACTACAACACCCATGATAAGGAACTGCTCGCCATCCATGACGTGTTCCGATCATGGCATCACTACCTTGAAGGTTCAGGAACTCCAATCGACGTCGTTACCGACCACAAGAACCTCGAGTATTTTTCCACCACCAAACTCTTGACCCAGCGGCAAGCCCGCTGGTCAGAGTTCCTCTCCCAGTTCCACATGACTGTCCAATTCCATCCCGGAAGACTCGGAGTAAAACCAGATGCGTTGACTAGACACTGGGACGTCTATCCCAAAGAAGGGGATATGGACTACGCTTGCATCAATCTGCAGAACTTCCGACCGGTCTTCACTTTGGAGCAGCTCACTGCGTCCTTACAAGCCACATTCCTAGCTGCCACAGTAATCTGAGCAGCCATACTCGTCGACACAGAGGCTCTCCATCGAGACATTCTAGCCTCCCTCTCCTCTGATACCACAATCTCTTCTCATCTTGCTTCCCCCAACCTCCCCAATTCCCACTGGTCCGTTGATGCTGAAGGCCTGTTAAGGCTGGACAACCACATTTACATTCCGGATTCCAACGATCTCCGTCTCCGCATTTTGCGAGACAAACACAACCACCAACTTTCCAGACACTTTGGTCAAAACCGGACTCTGGATCTAGTACGTCATGAGTATACCTGGCCGGGCATCCATAACTTTGTCAAGAGCTATGTCTCCTCCTGCACTTCTTGTGCCCATGCCAAAGTCCCCCATCATAAGCCTTACGGCTTGCTCAAACAACTCCCCATCCCCAAACGTCCTTGGAACTCCATCTTCATGGATTTCATCGAACAGCTACCCTCCTCTTCCAGATTCACTTCCATCTTGGTCGTCGTGGACCACCTGTCTAAACAGTGCATTTTCATTCCTACCCACGACACCATCACCTCTCCGGAACTGGCCAAGCTCTTCCTCCTCCATGTGTTCTCCAAGCACGGAGTTCCTTCCCACATCACCTCTGACAGGGGTCCGGAGTTTGTCTCTCATTTTTTCCGTTCACTTGGTAAGGCCCTTGACATCCACCTCCACTTCACCTCCGGTTATCATCCAGAAGGAGACGGTCAGACCGAACAGATGAACCAGACACTTGTCAGGGGATGGACCCTGGGTCCCCATGACCCCTCTCTCTATAGCCCACAGCCTAATCTGTAACAGCCTAGTCTCAAGGCACAACTACTGTGGGTAAGAAAGTGAGAAGAAGGTTAACTTCTCACTTTCCCACAGTGGCCCCAATATGGCGAAAACTTCCGGGGATACCCGGAAGTCACATGAGGTGGGATCCGGGGTCGGATTGTGCGGCACATGGAGCGTGCGGCACAGGAAGTGCACGGGAAGTGGAGTGGGTCCGGATGCGGGTCCGGGTCCGGGCTAAGTCAGGGTATGTGCCCTGACAACACTCAAGCAGTACCTGCACATCTACAGTAACTACCAGCAGGACAATTGGTCCGAACTCCTGCCTCTCGCAGAGTTTGCATACAACAACACTCCGAATGCCACCACAGGCGTCTCCCTGTTCTTCGCCAACAAAGGCTACCATCCAAACATCACCGTTCACCTGGAGCGAGATCTAACATCAATACGCGCCCAGGAGTACTCTGTAGATCTCGACTCCCTCCATCACTTCCTTCGCAAGGAAATGCACCTCGCTCAGATCCGTTATCAGGGCCCGGCAGACTCCCGTCGGAGTCCTGCCCCAGCTTTCGAAGTAGGAACCTTGGTCTATGTAAAGGCCAAGTATTTCCGCTCCACCCGACGTTCCAAAAAGCTCTCCAAGAAAAACCTCGGCCCATTCGAGATCATTGCCCATGTAGGAACTCACTCCCTCACTCTCTGCCTGCCGGAAAACATGCGAGCCATTCACCTGGTATTCCATGTCTCGCAGATCGAACCCTCCATCCCAAACATCATTCCAAACCACCACCAGCCACCTCCGCCTCCCATAGAAATCGAAGGCGAGATGGAGTTCGAGATCAAGGAGATACTCGACTCCAAGATTGACCAATGTAGACGCAACAAGTTGCTCTACCTGGTCA